ACAATTTCTTTGTATTAACAATTTTTTTTCATTTGCAATTTTTTAACATCAAAAAATCTATCACTACGTTTACTTAAGTACTTTGCTGATTACTAATAAAAAATAATTGAACATTTTTATCGTTTTTCTTCATATAAAAATCAATAAAATCTTTCAAAATAAATATCATAGAAATTTTTGGAAATATGTTTTTGTTATATAGACGTTAACAATTTGATTTGAAAAATGGGGCTTAAAGATTAAGGCTGGTTTCATTCATATTTGCAAAAAATTCTTATTTTCTTATCAATTTTTCTAAAACTTACATCTCTTTAAGGAACATAAATTATTACATTTATCAAAACTTGATGGGAGATTCTCTCATCCAAGTAGAAACTTAAAATCACCAATTGGATTATAAAAATAAGTAAAACGAAATTTGACCCTGGGTTGAAAAAAATGGTATCAGGCACAAACATTATAAACAATTTTTTATATCAAATTATCATTATGGATAACACGTAACAGTAACTTTAATAAACTTGTTCGTCTATCCAAATAAGTACATAGCAATAAATTACAACAACAATATTATTTGACACATTTTTTTCACTTTCAAAAAAAGATTATTTTCCCATCATTTCAATTAATTATAATAATAATAATAAAAATGTGATTTTCATTGACAATCAATTTGCGTAATTATGTTTTGTTCTCGCTTTCTTCACGTTTAAGTATTGACATCTATAAGTAATAATTTTTTTTAAACAACATAACAATTTATGCTTCTTAATTTATATTTAATTTTATCATTAAGGTAAAAATTAACTTAAAGTCTCTTATTATTCAAGGGAAAAAAATTCTTCGGACTTTTACGACACTTTTTTTTCTCACGAAACATACAAAAAAATTTATTTTTGATAAAGCTTTTGTTTTTTCACTGGTTAGTACACTTTTTTTTAATTCTTTGTTTGTATTGTTTTTTTTTTCGCTCGTTTCTATTAAATGCAATAGTAGTAAAAAGAAACTGTCTGACACTTTAATAATTTCTAGTGTTTCTTCTAAATCTACAACGGGGTACATTTATTGGATTTTCTTTTGTTAATAGCTCCTAAAGAATGACTTCGCTTTGACTTATCTTTATCCAATTGCTCGTCTCTGCTACGTGTCGAAATAGATTGATTTAGAGTAGTCGAAGTCATTGACTGCGACATTACTTTTATTTGCGGCTTTTCCTTTTCCTCGGAAACACTTCCGATAATTTCATCGGAATCTATATCGAACGGTTCTAATTTTTCCATCGAACATCGGGATGGTAATTTAATAGCAGTAAGTACTGTTGTTGCGACTGATGGCGTTGTCGTTAAATCAGTATCACTATCATTTTTAGCTCGTGAAAATAACTTGTCAAATTCCTTATTCAAAGCTTCAGCAAACGAAGATTTTTCATCGTTAAATCTCCGCACTTCGTCATCATCATCGTCATGTTCGAGTTCATCACAGTCAATTATTGTATATTGGCTTTGTAGTTCATTCTTTATTTTTTCTTGTTCACTTATTTCCGAAGATAATGTTGCTACAAGTTTGCCTTCATTGCTTTCCGTTATCGAACCTTCTGGTGTGATAGTAAAATCATCTATTTCAGATATTTTCAATGTTTTTATTGTTGTATCGGGAATAACTGCTGCTAGTGTAATATCATCAAATATGTCGCTATTTAACGATAAACTTAACTTTGATGTGCTACAGCTATCTAAATTTATTTGCTTTACTGTATCAAATGCATATTCTGAATTGCTATTTGTCTTTAATGTTTCACTAGAATTACTAAGCAAGTCTAATGATTTAGAACGTGTTATATTTTCACTAGCTGATGTGCAAGCATTTTTCACATATTCGGAAATTATATTTTTAAGGTTGCTATCTTTTTCAATGCTTGAATTTCCTAACATGCTATCTTCATCTTCATCTTCCTCCATTTCGCCATGATCTTTTGGACAAATCTCATAAAGAGATAAAAGCTTACTTTTTTGATCACAATAATCTTCTTCTCTTGATTCCATTATCACTTCAACAATCTCCTTTTTTTCCTCATCATCCTCGAAATTTTCTTCGTCGGTCTCGTCTATTGCAAGTATTTCTTCAGAATTGCGTAAAAAACTTGATTCATATCGTTCTTTATCCGGAACGAAATAAATTTCATCTACATCACCTTCAATTCTATATAAACCCTCTTGACCGTAATAGTTTCGTTCATCATCTTCAAAATATTGATCATTTTGATCAAATTCGACTTGATGCTGTCGAGTATATGAACTACGTCTTCTTTCTGCTAAATTTGATGGTGGATATTCATATGTATCGCTTTCAGAACATTCAAGCTCTTCTTCCTCAAATGCTTCAGGTGGATTTGGATAGTATGATTGATCTTTATAATAATCTGATGAATAACTCTTAATATTGAACTTTGGTTCACTATTTTGCTTTAATAGTGTAGCTTTTCTTAAACTAGTCGCTTTTTTATATGTGTGACCCGTATCAACATTTGTATTTTCATCACTTTCCATTAATGGCTCATGTTTATACAGGCCAGTAAAATCTTGCGAGCAAAATTTTTCGAAAAGTTCCATTGCTGTTAATTGATATGACCCAGTTTCATTATAAAAGGCTTCGCTCAATGGAGAAGTGCAGCCATGTTGCTGTAAAGTTAAAATATCACTTCTGTATTCATTAGATGTACCATATTTTCCATAAATTCCCATAGCATTTAATCTTAAATTGCTTGAATTTCGTGTACTCAAGTCAAAATTTGATTTCGATATTAACGAGAGCTTGGATGCGATCGACTTTAAATTTAAATTAATATCATTGTTTGACTGAGATTTTCCGAAAAATGAAAATTTTCTTTTCTTTAACAAAAATTTCTTTCCTTTTAGCGATTTTGGTGATGACAATGATGCCTTTGAGGATGTAAGTTCAGTTACTTGAGAATATAATGATAATGGTGTAGCTTGTTGTTGTTGTTGATCCCCTTTAGTTTTCGATTGTGGAATTGAATCTTTCTTTTTATTATTATCATATAATGCAGACGTACTAAACCGTTTTACTTTAAGTAATTTATTCATTTTACGGAATTTGCCAAATCGTCTTTCAAATAAACTCAATGACTTTTCTTCTTTTTTGGCACTTGGCTCACTCTCGATTTTATTTTCCTCTTCAGTTGTTGATTGAGTTTCAATGCTATCGTTCTTATCAGTATAAAGTGTATCCTTATCTCCTTCAGATTTTGTACGTTTTCCTGAATCTTTACGTGCCGGCTTACATTCAACAACCGAATCTGCCTTTCTTGGTTGATTTCGATAGCTTTCGTACTTAGTATTATTGTCTTCTAGAAAATCAAAATCAATACTTTGATTCTTCCACTCATTAGCCGGATATTTCTCTTTGCCAATTTCATCGAGCGAGTCGCCATCACTTTTGTATTCACGCTGTAAACTTGAACGAATATGTTCCTTATATTCACTTTCTAAGCGCTCTAAATCTATTGGCTCTTCTTCACACATATCCGAAAAGACAGTATCAGTTGATATATTTTTGGATGATTCTCCTTCTTGGCTTCCTTCAATTGAATTTGTTTTACTTTCCTGAACAATTGACTTCCTTGCAGGACTATTATCTAAATCTTTCAATAAAGCTTGATCCTTGAAAAGTTCCGAATCAGTTCGAATAATCTTTTTACTTTTCTTCAATGTTCGCCTACGCGCGCTTAATGGTATATTCGAGGAACTCGATTTATACGATTTACAGTACTCATCGTCACTTGTTTTACTATCAACTTCAGAAGCATTACGAAAATTTTCATAAAGGTTCTCATCCGATCTATTACGAAACTCACGCGCACTTGCCGCGCATGTTAAAATATTTTCAAAATTTTCATTATTTACCTTAGAGTCTAATAATTCAGCAGATTTGCACCTATAGTCATCTCGACAATTGCCTAAATATGAATTGGAGCTTAAACTTTTAAATTTTTTCTTAATATTGGAGCTAAGTAAATTATCATCAACAGTAAGTGAATTTTCTGATGAGGATATGTGTCTTTGTCTTTTTGGTGAAATGCTAGTTGTTGAATATTTTTCCTTTTCTATTTCATCGTCATTAACATTATCTTTTTTATATACGCTACACTCTTTGCTACTCTCTTCCGTCACTGATTTCTGTTCTAAGCCATTTTCCATATTTGTCTTTGTCTCTTGATTTTGATTAAAACCACATGCAGCAGCTGTCACTTCCATACATAAATCAAATGTTCCAACAGTTTTCATTCGTATTAAGCTTTGCTTTCTGGGCTCATATCCTCCCAAACTATATAAACGACATTTCTTCTTCCGCTCTACAATCTTTCCATCTTTATCTATTACATAGCGACTACTGCTCTCTTGTGAGGGCTCACTTATATTACTTAAAATGTTACTTTTAAATTCAAAATCAGTGATAGTTTTATCTATTATTATACGACCCGTATTTGATTTTATTTTAATTTGATCCATATTTTCAGTGTCCGGTGTTAGTGGAGTGTTTTTCCCGCGACCAAATTCTATGAACCTATATCAGATATACGTTGTGGTGAGAGAGAAAAGAAAGTAATAAAATGGTTAGAAAAAGGACTGCAGCAAGTTGTCATTTTAAGACAACTATAAATCTTGTGATGCTACATTCTTATTCAATTAAAGGACTTTTTTTTTGGGTACGTGTGAAACAAATTTCTATTCAACGTGAGAATAATAATTTAAAGTCTTTTAAATGGAGTATTACTGACAACTAGCTGTACATAGATCATAATTTATGGTCCAACTTACCATTGATCGCGGATCTCATGTTCTCACTTTTTCTCATTTTCCTTATTTAGATAATGAAGCACGTAATGTAAAACTAAATCGTAACAGTACTAATTTTGAGAGGAAAGATATAAATTGCGCGTAAGTAGCTATAATGAATAACATTCAAACAATTTATGATACTCACTTTATATTCCGTCTAAAATAAATCAAATCGATAAATGTTATAGTCGGTGAATAATGTTTGTAAAAGGAATGGAAAACAAGAGAATAACAGAATGAATTTTGGCATGAGAAAAATATATTTAATATTACCATATTATCTATTAATTGAGGTCTATGTCGTCTAACAGTCTTCGATGCTTGGAAAACATCAACCTCTGAATGTTGTATCACTTGCCTAATATCACATGTGTCGAGGTGGAAAGAAGATAGAAATTAAAAGATAAAAACAGAACATGGCAAGTAGCAAAAGAAGGAATACGTGGAATAAGAATTAAATTATTAATCATTATTGATTGCTTACTCAATACAAGCATTTGCAGCACAATAAACCCCCGCACGAGATCGACCGTCAGGAGAAACCACAGCAACGGGACCCAATGCCTTCTGTCGCCACCTTTCAACCATATTCATCAATTCAACTAATGAATTTGTGCTTGTCGGTACTTTATGAGACAAAGGCCAGCACGTCAATTGGAAAAGTTGAACTGTGCGTGGACTATATATATAACATTGTGTACAGAGCAAAAATAAATTTTCATTTTTATAAGGTTAAAAGAGAATGGAAAGAAAAAAAAAGGAAAAAAATTGGTAAATAAATCGATAATTGATGCAATGGACTTCAGCAATAAATGTTTGTTGTTTTCCCAAACATTTATCAATGAGTACTCACACTGCTTTAACGCCAGCCATCAATTCAGTAAGGGAAATAACCTTCTTATTGATACGAAATATCCAAGTTTTGATGTTTGTATAATGATTGTGTGAAATGTGATCAATTGTAAATACCGGACCGTACTTTTTGCTTTTATGACGACCTTCGGGCCAAAATCCTGGGTAAGTTTGCTATTCAGAAAATTAATGAGAATTTATTTTACTTCTATTAAATTAATGCACGTGGTTACTTACGGAATTATGAGGTGGTTGGCAGAGAACAACAACGGCAGAACATTCATGATCATAAACTAAACTCCAAAATTCACCACAAGTCTGTTGAAAACGTATTTGAGGGGTAGTAGGAGGGAAGAATAATGTGAAATTTTATTCAAACACTTTCCTAGACGAACTGAATTGAAAACCAACAAGTAGATTGTGAATAAAATAAATTTCTTTGGCTTTTCCTTTCGAAACTTAACTTCAATAATAAAGAAAGCTTTCAGTAAAAACATAAAAAAAAAATCACTTATAAGTCGTTGTTGGTTTTCAAGGATAATGTATGTGGATTTAATATTGGCGAGGAAAAAAAAAACTTACAGATTTTAATGGCCATTCAGTTACAATATATTCTATATGAGGTGCAAAAAAAAGAGAGATTGAGAGTGAGTAAATAAATTGAAAAAGCCATAAAACAAAGAAGAACATTACCTCTCGGTTTTGTGTAGCCCTGAAAACGTTGCAAGGTAAATTATTTCATGATACATGTGTTTTTGGAGTGTGAAAGAAGATGAAGATGGGTAGAAAATTAGAGAGACGAGATAAACATAAAAAAGTTCATCCACTTACGTCAACAAAGACTGCATTGATATAGTCTGTAAAAGCATTGCCTTGAAATGACGTCAAATACGGACGGAAGTTATCAGCTATATGAGAATGAGAAGAGGAAAAGGGATGAAAAAATATTGAGCATCGCATGAATTCATAATTAAGTCTTACGTGGAACACAAAGAACATCTCTATTCTTCTCACGATTGTCTGCTCTATGACCACCAGCACAGTCACCGATTGAAAATCTCGGAGTTTGCTTACATATCTGTGCATATTCTCTTTGGTATTCATTAAGCTTTGTCACAGCATCTTTTATGCTCTTTTGTTTGAGCTTTTGTGATAAGTCTTTTACGGGAAAGAATGAGTTTCCGCAAACAACATATTCTTCCAATGTATCTAAAGGATAGACAATAGCTTGTTACTTAATTTGTTTCTCATTAATCTTTTTGTTCCTATGACACAAATCATTGAATTTTAGCATTTTTTCCTATAATTTTGGCAAAATCGTCAAATATTTCATTCTAATCGGATTATCAAAAATTATCGTTTTTGCCAATATTTCCAATAAAGACAGTATGATATGTACCGTAAATAAATTTATATTGATCAACAGTCTCAATCAGTCCCTTCCGCGATTGACGAAGTTTCTTCAAATATCCGAAGACATAAAATGAATCCTCTTCTTCCGCTAATTCAATATTCGCATCAATAGCCATAAATACTCCACTACGTCCTCCTTAAAAATTGTTGAGTAGCATTGTAGTATATGAGAGAAAAAGAATGGAAGAAAGATAGAAAAAAATTTATATTATATAAGCGTGAAAGCTTTGTATATAACAATAGTGAAAGAGTTAAAGTGGATATAAAGGGTTTCCTTTATAGGCATGAAATAGGGGTGAAAGATAATTCAATATAATTTTTTTTTACCTCCATCATTGCAATGAACAAGCATCGGTCGATCTGATTTCAGTGTATTTCCTACAACGTTTCGTACACGTCTACGAAATTCAAGAATTGCATTCGAGAAAGGACATGAATGTGATGACCATGCTGTATAATGAAATTGCAATAAAATTCTCTCCTCGACTCTCACCTGTGAAATAAATTAAATTAAATGGATGAATTAAATGTTTATGACAATTTTTCATGAGCAAGATAATTTCCTGTTGCGTTCAATAATGTCATTAAAAATGAAAATAGATGGAAAGAAATGAAAGACGCAAACTGAGGCGAGAGTGTATACACAAAAAAAAAATAGGAAAGATAAATAAAAACAAAAAAAGAAATACTTACATTGTTGTGCATTTTATACAATCTAAATGTTCGAATATGGAAATTTGCCAATTCTTCTTCCTTTACGACTCCTATGTATATCTGATGTTCAGGCTGTTCACCATAACACTCGTCTTTTTCTTTAGATGCTGACCAATATTGTAAGCACATTACTTTTGTAAAATCAAAAGTCTTCGTAAGCATCACAATGCACGATACATGTTCTTGCCAAATCATTCGCCAAAAATCAAAAACTGTCTCTTCTGTCGGACCTTGACTTACAATATAAGCGTTTGGCTTTAAAAGACTCTATTTTAAGAAAAAAAGATAATGAAGAAACTTTATTTGAGTAAAATGGCTTTAAAGAGTGTATTTTTTTTTAAAAAACTTACATCGACATATGATGCATTAACATAGTCTGAATCAGTAATGCCAGGAATTTTTTGCAAAACAACTCTATTATAATCATACGGTACGGTCTTCTGATTTTGATTTTTTTCCAAATTATTCTTTTTCGTCGCATGTCGACATGAGTTTGTCTCAACGGCAGTCTAAATTGTTGGATATGAAGAAAAAAGAGATCACATATTGTGGATTTTAATAACATAAATCGAATCTCATCAATAGATTGTTATTGTTATTATTATTATTTAATTATACGATGGAATCTATCACGACACTCACTGTAAATTCAATTTTGTATAAAACGGGAAACTTGCGCCGTTGCTCACATAATTTTATGAAAAACTTTAATTCAGTCGGAGAGTCTGGTATCGTTTGTGATAGAGGATTATTTTCATCTGCAAAAAAAATTGTTCATTTTTATTGAAAAGTTTATGGAATAGCTACACTAGTGCTACACAAAATAATAATATTTTTCAAATCAAAATATTTTTCCATTCATTTTTTTGAAATGTAATAAAAAGTTAATAACATATATGTATATGGTATTTTGAACTATCAGCTCACCCTTAACAGATAGCTTAACCTTATCTAAATACACAAATAAGATAAAATACAAAAAAAGATAAAAAAAAAGAACAAATAGAATGAGATAAAATTTTATGCAACTACAAAAATTTTATTGTAAGATTACATTACAAGATTATAAAGGATTCAACACTAAGGACGGAAAGAAACTTACCGAAAGATAAAAGACCGCTATTGAGCATACTGAGCTTTATTGTATTTGGAATTGATATTAAGCTTGTACTACTCAATGTTTTCTTCTTTTTTGGTTTCTCAACGTCCACACATCGCGATTGTTGCGATCTATAACAAAGGCAACAAGTAAATCTAAATATTCGAGTCATCAAAAATAATAAGGCAGAAAAATAAAAAAAAAGAAAAAAAAAAATGCAAAACTTTAATGATAGAAGCAACTAAAATAATTCATCCTCAACAAATCTATGAACTGTTAAAACAAATGAGTGACTAATGATCCTTGTGTTTATAAGCACGTTGCTGTACATATCGATTTTAAATTTATCGCTACTGCATGCTTACTAAATTAAGCGGAAAATTTCTTTCCAATAAAATATATGGTACGAACACGTTAGCTGTAATTTATTGATTTAAACTCAATTTAAAGAAGAAAAATTAAAATTGTCACATGAATGGAAAATGAAAAAAAAAATTAAAGGAAATAATTCCTTCTGTGAAAAGATCTGCTTATCTGCTGAACAATGTTTATTTTTCATAGAATTTAAATTCAACAAAAAAGCTTATTTTTGGAAATGTCGATTCAAGCGGATTAAAGCTATAATGATGTCTATTGTGATGATATGAAGAATGATTTAAACAATTTCATGCCTTTAACTTGCGTGGAATTTGATTAAATATTGATGTTAAATGAATGTCGTAGGATTTTAATTCATCTGCTGCATGGAACGGTTCAATGCAATCTTAAAACTTTAAACTTAGTATGGAATCAAAAACAAACATTTTGGAACTACTAGGACAGCTTGATACACTTCTCTAGCAATGTAAAGCATGGTGATACAAGGGTAAAGGTAGGACGTAAAGTCGAAAAGCCCTTGGAATCTCAGTATTAGGAACAATCGACTGGAAATAGTAGGACATGGATTTGATTTTCATGATACAAAACATTTGATATAAAAAACTCATTTTTTGAAAAAAAAAACAGATTTTCCATAAATATTACAAATAAATCTACATTTTAGGATTAAATAAATATCCAGAACATAACACTTCTTGTGAACATTTTTAATTGTATCACAACAAAATTCGTATTTTGAAGGAGAATTTTACTTCTTTCCCTTCTTCATCCAATTTATTTTTAGCCTAGATTATTTTTTCCTTTATCAAATTACGCCTTACAATTTTTCTCATTGCTTTGTTTGCTTTTAATAGCTTACGGATGGAAATTTTATGTTCATTGAACACAAAAAAAAATTTAAATTTTCAATTTTCGTTACGAAAACAATTCTGAAATTAAATTAAATATTAATCCATGCTGACAATCAGTGTTGCATTCTGGCGATTTGTCTGGATCAGACAAATTCTGAAACAGAAATTTCTTCATAAAAATCGATTCTATATGAAGATAGAAAATCTAATCTACACAAAGATTATTTCTACATAAAGATTCTGTCTACATAAAGATTTGATGTAGATGTCTACAATTCTACATTCTTCTCTAATGTAGACCTAGAAAAAATGTAGAATTGTAGACATCTACATCGAATCTTTATGTAGACAGAATCTTTATGTAGAAATAATCTTTGTGTAGATTAGATTTTCTATCTTCATGTAGAATCGATCTTTATGAAGAAAGTTTCTTAGCTAGACGAAAACTATTGAAGAATCTACATTCTTCATCTAGTGTAGACATCTACATTTGCAACACTGCTGACAATCATGTAAATATATTTATGAGAAAATTATATCAAAGCTGCATTATATGTCTTCAATTAAATTTCATTACAAGCAATGTTATTACTTTTTTATGTTCCCGAATATGGAATTTCATAGATAATTCAAAAGCCATTAAAATTGAATAGCTAACACAAGTGACATTTTGTTTGAGAACTTTATAAATATTAAAATTAAGTTATCAATATTTCGATGAATTCATTTCACATTTGGGAATGTCATGTAACATATGTGGAAACTCTTTTTATATTGACATTGTCCATTTATTGGCTACACTTGTAAATGAATCAATTATGGAGATCCAAATTTCATGCACATATTTATTTTTATAAGGAACAAAACAACAGTTGTTGAAGGCACAACTTTCTATTCAATTCCATTTGAAATGTAATGATGGAAATAGTTTATAAATAATGTATTAAGCTCTTTTATATCCTCTTTAAGAGGATGTTAGCATGTAGCTGGGTACACATTCAAACAGTAATGATTGTTCACGTTATGATGAGCTATTAATAGATCTCAATATTCATATTACGGAAATTGATGATTTTCAATCAATGCTTATCGATTAAATTCAAAACGTCCCTTCTATAATGTGATAACCACATATGATTGAAACGCACATTAAACCTTCCATCGAACAATATTGATGATGTATGTTGATATAAACATATGTGTATCCTCTCATTCAATATGTGAACATATTTATTCGTTTACAATTTTAATAGATTCGTAAACATCAAAGGGATTAAAATAAGGGTTATTCACTTATGACGTAAAGCATTTAGGATAAACAGTCTGAAGCTATACAAAGCACTCTTTGAAAACTTTGGATCAAAAACAAAAGAATATCTAAAAATACCATCAGTTATGGATGTGAATTTTAAGGATGATCAATTCATCAATGATGTCATTAAAAAAATATATTCAGATCCTCACCCTTGTTGCTAGAATATAATTTATATTCCCCAAAGGGGCCGTTCACTTATTACATTACGCAAGAAAACGATTTTTTTCATTCCCCCCCCCCTTTTACAATATGTTACAACTCACAACCCCCCCCCCCCCCCTGAACTTTCATAATTTATTTTATTTTGATAATTTTTTATTCTAAAAAGACGGTTAAATTTCTTTTGTATTTTTTTTCTTAAACATCAAAAAACTGTACAGCTAAATAGGTCATGTTTTGATTGATACTATTAGTATTCTCATGAATTATTGGATTGAGATATAAAGCAAAAATTTTTTTTTTTTTTTTTTTGAAGAAAATTCAAAAATATTATGCCCGATCGAATTTTGGAAAATTCAATCAACTTTGAATGTAAATATCACAATGATGGGATCATATTAATCATCATATGAATGACTTTTAAACTTATGATTGATTTAATTTTGAAAATTTCCACAAATTATGATTGTATTTTAAAGTCTTGTAAACCAGTTTTCTATTGATTTGTTACTTTATATAACGAAAACTATGTATTGCTTAGCTATCAAAAGAGATCTGGACATTTATAAATCATTATAAATCTTTATAATTATACTTCTTGACACCCCCTCCCCCCTATGTTTCATTTGGTTACAATTTTTCAAACCCCCCTCCCCCCTAAAATGCGAACGTAATAAGTGAACGGCTCCAAATATCATTACATCTCAATTAAGTAAATAACATAATTTATGAACATCCTTAGAAAGAATAAGAATATTTTTGAGTGATGATAAGCCAACCGCTTTTGTGTATATGAACATTTTTTTTGCGATTGATGAAATGTTAATGGAATACAGAGTATTCTCAGCTGATGAAGGTTGATTGGAGGCGTGCAGAAGTAAAGTATAATGAACTAATTCATATTAAAGTCCAAATTGCCAATCAATCAATCTCTTTTTTTTCGCCTTCTTGTTTCTGTGCTATAAAAAGCTTCATCATTATTTTTCATCCACGCAATGGAAATGGCAATGTTGTTGTAATCCAGTCATCCTCCTTATTTTTCTTTTAAGAAGAATCCTAGATAATGTGATGTTAAAGTCATAAATTTCTTTGAATTATGGTAATTTTGGGCTTACTTTCCGATTAAATCACAATCTATCAAGATGCATTAAATATTCATCAGAAAATCTCAAAAAGCTTTTATATCTCAAAATCAGTAATGGTTGACTCATAGAAATTTTATCGAATTTGTTATGGGTATTGAGCTTTAAAACAAAGAATGAATAACGAGATGTTGGATTGTAGATTGTAGACAAATAAGTCCTCACTGATTGATTCTTTTGAAAATTTTCTCATCGCTCTTCATAACTTAATTATTGGAACTCATTAGTGATCAACAGTTCTACAAAAAGAGAAATTAAATTTTGAGTACTTTTTTTTATTACAAATTTACTCGACCTTTTGTGGCGAGAGCTGCTTACTAGCTCTAGTAAAATGAACTGATTAAGTGGTCAAGGGTTGGGATTGTGGTTTTGTAAAATTCACTTTGAAATTAGAAAATCTAGCTCCTCTCATTATGTACACAAAAATTAATTAAATTTGTAAGGTAATTATGAATGCGTGTGTAGCTTCAACTTAATTTAAAATTCATAAAGTACTGCGAATTTTCCATATTGTGTACAATATAAATAAAAAAGAAGAAATCAAGATGATGTTTAGCGCGTGAAAGAATATACAGGCAATAATAGAATAATAAAAACGTTTAAAAGATTTCAAAAGAAGAAATCGAAAGTTCGCAGCTATAGTCGTAAACATAAGAGTTTTTACGATTTTATTTTCAGAAATTTGAATTTCTTTAGGAAATTGAAAATTGAGGAAAATTCCGAATTCACACTGTGTACGAAGAGCAGGAAGAAAAATCAGTATAAACACTTTTTGGAGTCGAATTTCACCAAATTTTTAATATTTGTCGGAAGCTTAAAATAGCCAACGAATATCAACTAGCTTTGTGATGGAAGAGGGATTAAAGCTATTGATGTGATATCCTTAAAAAGTAAGTTTAGACGATATTTGTTTTTTCCAGACATACTCAAATGGAATGCATTCAAAATACCAAACGATATATAAAGTCATAAAACATTGCAAAAATGACAATTGGAATGCAACTTTCGCTGTTGTTCATAGATAGCAACAATATATTACAAATTTGGAACTATAAACTTTTTATTTTAATTTTAAAAATTCATCACTTGTCCATTGATGATTTGCTAAAATAAGCATGCAGATTGATACGTGTTAAATTATATCTCATGAGAATAGAATTGCCAATTTTGCAGATTTTTTGAATAGTGTCAGATTGCTCTACTTGCTGAGTGTCCCCAAAGAAATATGAAATAAAAATATTTTATCGATCAAAAAAAGGAGCTTTTGGAAATCATCTAATTATTAATGCACAACAAAGCTCAAAGACATCCTTTCCATAATATCTATGCGAAATTATTCAACCTTTACTTCCATTGTTTGGTGTTTCTTTTGATTCCTTTTTAATAAATGCCATTTATTTCCATTTGTCATCTACGGTTAAGTGCTGTAGAAAAGGAACTAAAGTTTATTCGAGGGAACAGAAAATAGCTTTGATAAATCACCCTTCATTTAAGGTTTATGATGGGTAGAATAATCGTGCATAGTTGTATAATGGAAGAAGCTTGCCCATCTACGACGATGATGATGATGACGTAGACAACAGAGCGCAATAATAAACAAAAATAAACGGGTTATATAGTTTGAGAGTTTTCATATTTTTCACAAATAACATGTGTGATGCGAAGGAATTTACTCTGTATATTTAAACATGAATTTTAAGATAAACAAAAATGTGCTTTCTCTCAGCGGCATCGTTTAGTCATGCGCATTCATCATTTGAGATGCTAGAGCAGTGAATAATCTCTTACTTCTGATACTTTTTCATATTCATGAATACATTCTGTTTTCACTGTTTTACGAACAACAATTTTCTTTCTTTCTGTTATTTTATTTTCGTTTTTCTTTTTACATCTTTAAAATTATTTATTTTTTTCTACATACGTGAAAATTCATTCAAAATAAAATAACTTATATGTAGCTACACACATCTTGTCAAGATCGCGAATAAATGAGAAAGAAATATTTATACATAATAATAAAAGAAAGGGTTCAAGTTTTGGCAAGCGCTGAATGATATACAAGCTAATGAGTAAGAGAGAAGAGACTCGAGACGAAAACGCAAGAAATGAGGAATTGAGGTTTTTGAATCAAGTTTGTAATTAAACTGTACAAGTTTCCCTTTCAGAAGGCATTTTGCCATTGTCAACAACGAAAACAACAATGATTTCTAGACTGTATCATTATGTAGATGTTAACAGTTTCACTTACTACATCTCTTATCATTATTATAGTCTATGATAGACGAAAAGTTCTCTTAAAAACTTTATAGGGTGCTCATTTGCTTGACTATCAGAGGAAGAGCTAGCTTTACATTTTATGGGAACATAATGAAGTTTTACTTTTTTTAACATTATAGAAAATATTGTTGGCATGTAGAAAGCTTTAATATCCTGAATTAAAATAGTTTAAGTTATGAAATGGGTAATTTTTTGAAATTTTAATTTTTGTTTTTAAAGGATTCACACATACAATATTGGTCCATAGACTATTGAACTGTGCATCCAGGAGAAGTAAATTTCAGACAAAAGTATCTTAAATGGTTAGGTCTAATACCTTCTTGGTAAAATGACTTCTATAACAAATTTAATCGTGCAGTTCATCTAAGGACTTGCTAAAGACTTCTATACACATCGTATTGATCATAATCATATAGTAGATCAGTGTGGTCAAATCAGTCCAATCAGTGTGGTCTAGTGTGCTTTAGAATTTTTTTGAAAATGACACGAGCCGTATGCTGTATGCGACTTCGGTCATGGCTTACTCCTAAGGTGTGTCGTGGATCAAAAAGTTTGGACAACACTGACCTAGATCTTAAAATCCATCAAGAATTTAAATGACTCAAAAATGACCTTCAAACACATCCATAAATAGTCGATACCTCCCACCCCTGTTCCATATTCTATCACAAAAATTTTTAAATTCTTTTGCAATGTCACTCACATCCTTAACATTGGACGTCAAAAGTGAATGACTCCATATGACATCCAACTTTTTTGATTGTATAAGAATCTGCAGCTGTGTTGAAGCTTATTTACAAATTGTTTAAAATATATAAACGATGAAGGAGGGAGATACTAAGAAACAATCTGTTGGATCCAATCTTTAATTCACCGCTTTTAAGATTCTCAGTATTTCAAAGAAATTCTTGCTAAAAAATGAAATATCAGCATAGTTCGAGTGAAATGAAAGTGACGCAAAAATTTATGTGAATCACATGAGAAGAATCTCGTAACTTTCTGGGAAGAAAAATCGATGGACACCCTATTCAAAGAGGAATCTGAGAATGTTCAGATAATGAGAAAAAAAATATGCATAAAGGAGATGAGAATCGATAAGCTGTTCAAGGCTCCCGCGCGATAAGTTGAGGAGAAAGTTTTTTTTTATATTTGTTTTTACATTATCATGAAAATATGGTATCCAATGCTTTCCGTTCCAACTTTTATTTTGTTTTTTGACAACAACATAGTTAATTCAACACACAAATATGCGAAATGAATTGCTTGGTTTATTTTTCCCCATCACATTTTTATCATCTGCAGCTGTTTTCATCACAAATAGATTCTTTTTTTTTTTTTGAGTTTTTGCTGACGAAGGCAATGAAAATTGAAAAAAAAAAGTCCGTATATGTCGAGAAAGTATTCCAGACCTTTTGTTATAGCAGAAAATATGTAAGCGAGTCGTGAATGAAAATGGATAAATAAGCGAAATTTCTCGCACACACACACGAGATACTCTTTTTTTAATTAATTTTTTTAAGCTTTACCTTGATCTATGCCTTCTCGACTGATGTGTCGATGTAGTTGCTCGAGAGGACATTTTGTAATCTTTTTTTTTTTCTTTTCTTTCTGCTTTATAATTACAAAAATATTTCACAATTTTTTATTTATATTGTAACTTGTGTACTTAATAATTTCTTAATATTTTATTTCTTTTCTTTATTTTAAAAAAATTCACAATTTACTTTCTTCTTTTAAGAAATTTTTTTCTTTTCTCTCTTTTTTTGTAAAAAAGAATTTTCTTTTTGCAAAATAATTTTTTTTCTTCACATTAAAATTCTATTTTAAGCATGAAATTTGGTCTCAAAACACTTTATTTTCACAAAAATCCTTTTCAGCTTTGTTAAAAAATTTAATAAAATACGAATTATAAGCACTTTTCACATTATCAATTGCTCAAATAAAACGAGATGTGCAAAATATCCGCCTATTATATATATATGTGGAAAATTTTTCTCTACGATAAAAATATTTTTTTGCCTAAACTGTTTCTTTTCTGAACTTGAGCTGATGATCTCCGACAGACTACTGAAAAGTGCGAAAAGAAAATGTTTTCCATCGTCCCCGAGAAAATTCTCTCATAAAAATAAATGAAAATGTGCTTTTCCGCTTTTCATCTTCTCTTCTCTACTGTATGTATCTCTAGCTCTACTTACTCTCTTCTATCTCAATATTCCTTTTAATTGTTTTTATTGAACACATAAAAAATGTGAATGTGACAATGTGCTACTTACTATATTAATGATATTGAACAAACTTTATTTTTTGTTTTGTTTAGGATACTCGCTCATGAAACATTTATGAAGTGAGTTTTTATTGCATCAGAAATATAACATAACTAGGCTATCCGGAGGCGCCCGTAGCGCCTCTTATCAGGGTTAAAATTTAATTACTTTTATATAAATAACTGTAAGACGCAAATAACCATAATGTTTTTAAGGTCAATCCTACCACAGAACTTCACATGGCTTCACAAACCTCCTCGAACTCGGACTTCCTTAATCCCACAAAAACTTTATAAATGGCTTCACAAAACTTCAAATGGCTTCACAGCCCCCTCAAAATCGGACTTCCTTAACCCCACAAAAACTTCACATGGCTTCACAAAATTTTATATGGCTTCACAAAATATTCCTGACACCAAAGTTTTCAGCACTACACGGCTTGCCCCCCCCCCCCCCCACAACTGACACCCACACCCACCTGACAACCACCTTGTCAACACTCCATAAATTTTTGTCTTCACTCAGATTCACAAATGTTTTCACACGGCTTCCGTTCCAGAGTCAGTGAATCAGTGAATTGGGCTTTTATATATTAGATTCGTGGAATAGAGAGACTTACTTATAGTTTAATGATTGTCTTTTAATAGAGTTATTTAAGGAAACATGGGATAGGGATATTTTGGTTCTGTTGCAGCCTTTTCAGCTTCATGCTTGTCAATTGCTTCCATCAATTCTAATGCTTGTAGATACAACTTTTGCATCTTACTCAACTTATTTTCATCAAATCCCTCAGCAGATCTTATTTGCTCTGATGCAACAAGTGGTTTTTTTGCTTTTGTATCTTCTTGTTCGCTCAGAATGGGGGCTTTACGTTTCTTGTTGTTGGCGCTCATTAGCGTTTCGTCCATAACCATTGATGTTGCGCTTTTTGACTCGTCACATACGCTCGGTTTTACAACAGTAAGTTGCGGAATCTTAATGTTATTTAAATGACCTGAACCTTTTTTAACAGTTGGTTGCTTATCATTCACGTCATCTTTTGTGCTCTCACTTTGTGTGCTCTTAACAAAGGACAGGAAGCTTTCCTTACAGCATAAATGAGGATGTGAGGTCTTTAATTTCTTTAAAATATTTTCTATGTCAGTAATATTTTCCAGATCAGTTTGATCGAGAAACTTTTTATAATTCTTCTTAATCTTCCATAGTTCCTGGCGAATAACACGAATTTCCTTGTATGTAAAAATATCACTATCATGTTTTAAATGCCTTAGAATTCCCCTAATCTTTCGAATAATCAATGAATACTCATTATCGACGCTCAACGATCGTTTTCTGGCTGAAATTGATATTAACAATGAGTTATATGCTGTTTTAAACAATTTTAGCTATAATTAAGCCTTTGATACTCACTAATTTCTGATTTTTCACGAAAATCCATTCTGCAGCTAATTTTTCAAATGTGGACCATAAGAAATTCTTGCAACGATTTTAAAAAATTCAAATTATTTTGAGAATTCTTAAAATTGAAAAAATCAAAACAAAAACATCAATTAATTAATTTCACGTCTATTATGACTAGTCACGTACAACGAGTAAGGATTTTATATAAATCAATATTAAAGCTACATAGAGGTTTACCTGTTGAAATTAAAGAACTCGGCAATCAGTATGTACGAGATGAATTTAAGAGGCATAAAAATTTAAAGGATACTGATGATCAAATTCGAGTTTTCATGTGGTTAGTATAATTAAAATAAATTAATAAACCTGTGTTAATAATCAATTTTTCAGGGAATGGACTGATTATGCGATTAATCTTGCCAAACAGTTGAGTGTACAGCACATACAGCAAGAGAAAAAAGTTGGGAAGAATTTACATGAACAGGAACTGGACAAGTTCAATGACGAACAAATTGTGCAGCTTAACGAGCTGTATTTAGCATCAAAAGGAAAAGAAAGTGAAACAGTTGAAGATAAAAAATTGTAGTTTAATTCATGAATATTTATTTCGAATTCAACAAATTTTATAATCCATTAGTAATTATTAAAATGTCGTAGACGATACATTGGCACTTCTGAATTAAATGTTCCTACACCAAGATATCCACTTTCAGGAGAAAATGCTAAAACAGTTGGTTTACCAATTGTATCAAGATTAGATGGAAAATTGCTAAAGACACTGCCACTTTCTACATGCACAAGTTTTAATGCCTTATTATCATCCATTGAGCACATCGCTAGCATTTCTGTTGTATGATTAAACTTTAAGTCAGTGATTTCAGTTGATAAATTGGATATTGATTTAAGTGGCAATGGATATTTTGATTTCAAAACATCCTGTCGATCATAAATGTTGACGAAACCTTGACGAGAGCCTGTAGCTAGAAACTTTCCATTTGAACTAATAGTCAAAACTGTTCCATTAACACATCCATCGTCTACAAATCGGTGCTTAATTCTTTGTGTTCTAATGTCAAATATTGTAATTTCATTATCATCGCTATGAGAATACAACTCATTGGAATCTGGTGAAAAACTCAAGGATGTACTTGAATGTTCCTGTTTCATTGTACACAACAATTCTTTTGTGATACTATGTAGCAAGTGTACTTCTCCAAATTCTCCAACAACTGCCATATACTTTCCACAGTTACTAAATTGGAAATATTTTAAATTTTTAAGAAGTTTCGGTAATCTAGTGCGTTGCTTATATCCAGTCATCAAGTTGTAGATGTGAAAGTCTTTCAATAATCCACCAATTACCAATTCCTCGCCATTATTTGTTAATTTACATGAATGAATGAAGAACTTTTCATAGCAAATGTCATGAATCTTTCTATTCTCCTTTCCGTCAATGGCAAACATTGAGACTATTCCTTTAGAACCAGATACTATTCCAACTGTTGATTTTGGATGAAATTCGCAAGACTTAATTCGACCTTCTGATTGTGTTGTTCTATTCATGTTCTTTTGACGCTTAAAATTGAGTAGAGTCTTAGGAAGTAATCCTGATTTTGTAGGCTTGTCTGTGTTTAAATGTCCAACAGCTTGTTTTATAATATCTTCATCTTCAGATTCCTCATCCTTTCTATCCAAATCAGCCCATTTTGGCTTTTTGCCTACAATTCTCTCAAGCTTTCTTTTCTGCTTAACTTTTGCAAATTCTCCTTTAACTTCAACATAATTGTCGTCATCAGAATCGTTCCAAACTGGATCTTCGTTACTGACTTTTTCAATCTCTTGTTCATCATTGTTACCAACATCCAAAAAGAATGTTTGTTTTCCTTCTAAATTCTTGACTAATGCATTCTTATCACCAAACAAAAATGCATTCATTGCCTGTTCATCTTCTAAATCTTCAATTTTCCTTCTTCGCTTTTGTGGTTTAGGCAATTGTTCAGTTTCTTCATCACTGGAACTGCTTTCATCCTTTGCTTCCTGTCCATATTCCTTCATTATGGCTGTTAAATCATCGAAATCACTATCACTGCTGTCACTCATGATTAAATTAATTAATTTAACTTGTATTTAAAAAAATGTGCTTGATGTAAACAATACCCGATTGATACACTAAAATTATCATCCAATAGACGGTTTGTAAAGAACATTTCAAAGTGTGTCACTCGGGATAGGGGAACAACAACCTACTCATACATTCTTAATCTTAGTAAACAATAACAAACGTTTAAATTCATATTTGCGGTATTTTTTAATAAAAAATTAATTAAACTATGTCTGACGAAGATGAAGTTGTTTATGTTAAAAGACAAAAGACTATACATTATGGCACGCTCGAGGAGACTATGGAAAACCGCATGAGGCATGCAAAAAATGAAACAGAAACTTCAACAACTTCAAATGCAACTTCCAGTAATACACAAATTCCTGAATATTTTGACATTGAGGGTGAAATGTAAGTTAATTAACACATTATATTCTATTAACCATGATAATAAATCAATTCGTTTCAGTGAAAAGGATAAAACAGCACTGCTGGAAGAGTTTGAGAGAAAGAAGAAAGCTCGACAAATTAATGTTTCAACCGATGATGCTGAGATCAAGAAAAGTCTGAGACAATTAAACGAGCCAATATGCTTATTCGGTGAAGGACCTGCTGATCGCAGAATCCGTTTGCGTGAGTTATTGTCTATGATGGGTGATAATGCGATTTCAAAGAGAACAGACGATGATGAGAAGAAAACAACTAAAGAGTCGCAAGATACGAATCAAACGTGGTTCCATGAAGCTCCAGATACGTTGAGAATTGCACGATTATGGATTGCTGATTATTCATTGCCTAGAGCAAAGAAGAGATTAGAGGAAGCAAAGGAACAAACAAATATCCCAAGTGCTACAAAAGCCAGTCGAATTGTTGAGCTACAGAAGAAAATTCAAGCTCTTATGCCTCAATGTTCACAAGTTGGTGATGCTCGTCCAATTAGTGCATGTAATTTCAATGAAGAATCAACATTACTCTTAGTTGGAAGTTGGTCTGGATTGTGTAAAGTATGGAGTGTCCCTGATTGTGAATTAGTTCAGACTTTACGTGGACATAATACACAAATTGGAGGAGTTGCATTCAGAAATGCGTCGAGCACTGATCGATTCTCGGAAGTTTCAATGGCTTCATGTTCAACGGATGGAATGGTAAAGTTGTGGAGCTTTAAAAGCGAAGAATCAGTAGCTGATATTAATGGACATATGCCACATCGTGTCTCAAAATTAGCTTTTCATCCTTCTGGTCGATTTTTAGGCACAGCATGTTATGACGCTTCATGGAGATTATGGGATTTGGAACAGAAACAAGAAGTTCTTCATCAAGAAGGACATACAAAATCTGTTCATGCTATTGCCTTCCAAAATGACGGAAGTGTTGTTTTAACAGGCGCATTGGATGGATTTGGTCGCGTTTGGGATCTTAGAACTGGACGTTGTATCATGTTTCTAGATGGTCACATGGGAAACATTTATGCTGTCGATTTCTCTTCAAATGGATATCACATGATTACAGGAAGCGAAGATCATTCTTGCAAGGCACGTTTTAATTTTTAAATCCAGCTGCTAATCATAAGATTTAATTATAATCTAAAACTTTAATTTTTGTAGATTTGGGACTTGAGAAAACGACAATGCTTGTACACAATTCCTGCTCATACGAACATCGTTTCGGATGTTAAATATCAGAAGAATGGAGGACATTTCATTGTTACAGCAAGTTATGACAAAACAATTAAGGTAAGACTTCAATTTTTGATTAAAACTTTTATTTCAAAAAAAATAGTTCATCTTTAAAATTTCTATTAATATTCATACTTTCTCCTGTTTGATTGTGATTGATGCGTCTAGGAGCATTTGTAGGGAAGATTCAAAATCGTCTTCAGCATTGCGCTTCTTTTTCTTCTTCTTTTTTGTTGTTAATTTGTCAGTACATGCTGAAGAATTGAAATCGTTGAAAGAACTGCTTAAACTCATATCCCCTTCTGCGTGATTTTTCGTCTTCTTTTCTTTTTTGGCACTGCCATTAAAGTCAGTTTCACTATCATTATGCTTTGTGGTAATGTGATTTTGTAAAGAATCGTCATCAAATAATTTTTCTTGTTTTATTTTCTTTAATGGCGGTAAATCATAACTATCCTCAATCTTCCTTTTTGCATGTCTTTTAGATGAGGTAATAGATGTAGATGGTTCAGTGCTTGATTCTCTTTCTTGCTTTATCTTGATTCTGCTTTGATCTAGATCATACTTTTCACTTTTATTATCGCTATCGCTGTCGTTTTCTCTAAGCTCATTATGTATGCTACTTTCACTGATTCCACTATCAGGAAGATCGTCAAAAACTTTTCTCGTATTGCTCATTGTGGCGATTCCAACCATTTCGGCTTCAATGTATGGAATTTCATTATCAAAATGAAACTCTTTTATTCTGATCTTAATTTCTTTATTATGGTGAACGTCATTCTTCTTAATGCATCCTTTGAATGTTACTTTAACATTAAAGACCCTGTAGATTACAACAGAAATGATTGTTTCCATTTTCTGGATATTTATGTGCTTAACGATTCCATCAACTATAACGTCCTTTCTTGGTGCGAATATATAGAAGTTTGTCTCAATGTTAATGACTGAATATGAACTGTCATATCTTATGCCTGTTTGCATATTTAGAATCTTTGTATTCCTAAAATCCAGCACTACTCCATCCAAATTTCTGTCATACTTTCCAATCTTTCTACTCAATATCCTCAAAATTGATTCTTTAAAATTATTAACAACATTCGAGCCAAAGATTAGCTTCTCAACTTTATGTACCTTCTTAACACACGACTCTGGGTGATTAACGTAATTCTCTAGTTCCAGTAGCTTATATCGGATATAAAAGTTCTTTGGTTTGCCCATAATTCCTTATTAATTTAATTATTTTAAAATCTTAATGAAATCAAAACAAAAGAACGTGCAATGCGGGGCAAGATTAAATATTCAAATTTTTCGTTACAGTTTTGGTCTAAAACCTGGCAGCCGTTAAAGACAATTACACACGATAGTAAAGTAATGAGTGTGGACATTTCACAAAATGCTACATACATCGCGACAACATCATACGATAGAACATTTAAGATATTCCATGAATAATTTAATTTTTGTCTCAATAAAAATTAACGGATTTTTGATAATTTAAAAATCACACTTTATTTACAAAGTTGCATTCCCCTCAAGATCCAGAATTAGTCACTAACATTTATCGCTTAGAATCACTTAATATTAATTGAATTACAGCATTTAAAGCTGATTTGCAGTAACAATCATCAATTGGATAAGTCGTACTAATGATCCAAAGTGTAAAAAACCGTGACATTGAAGAGCATGGGACTATAAATAAGTAGTTTAGTGTCTGTGCCTGACTTTTTCTTATTAGAAAAAAAAATATTAAAGAATTTTCGTCTTGTGCAAGTTTCTCGTGAAAGTAGACATTAATTAATTTAATTTAATTTAAATACATGATTTGTTGACAAAAATATTCTCAAAACACTATCAAAATGAAGGTTTTATGATAAATTGAGAATTTTCGCAGAAGAAAAAAAAATTCGTTTGTTTTCCTTACTTCTTTACTTTCATCATACATTTAATAATACTATAAAAATACAAAATTAATTAATTAATTGAAAAGAGCCTTCCTTAATTTATCGTACAAAATTAGAACAAAAATATATTATATTGAAGAAATACAGTCTTTAGTGATCGGAAAAAGTCATTAGAAGAGCTTTAAGTATATGATCAGCAGAGATACAGCAGCAAAATATCTTGTGTACTGAAAAAAAAAGCGTGAAATGCAAAAACTAGGAACTAGTAAGAATGTCAAGTTAGTGTGTATTTTCGGTGCATTATTTATTGCCTCAGTTGCACCAGAATTAATAAACAATAGTCTCAAAGATAATGATTTACGCAATAACAAATATCAGATTGTGCACATTACCGATTTATCATCATCACTTTTGAAGGGAAATAAAAGTAATAGCATTGATGACAAAAATTATGTGATAACGTATCAGCAGACATCTAATCTTAATGATGGAAAAATGGAATCGACGAGAATATTAGAGATTGAATCGAAAGGATTCAATGAAACAGTCAATAAGCCAGTGAACTTATATCCAACAAGATTCAAGGATTCGTGTCACAAAAGTGCGTCTTTTCCTGAATGGAAAATCAATAATGGAACTAGCAGTAACGGAGTGTTTCGCCTAAAAATCAATGTCAATGAAGAGCTTAAAAGAAGTGATTTCTATTACTTTTGTGCGTATGAAGAAGGAACATCGAATGAAATAACACATTTGGGTGAAGAATCATTACTGAATCTTCATAATTTAAGGTATGTATCTCGTCATATATAATTTTTATCAAAAATACTCAATATTAAATTAGCGTCTTGCTAATAGCTTTTTAAGCGATTCGTTTTACGCCTGTCACGTTTTTATACTGTCTTCATTTTTTTGACTAATTATATTTTATTAATGATAACATAACTTATTTTTTGTTTAAACAATCAAAAACATACATACATGCTGATTACTATTTCTCTTTGCCTTTATTCTCGTAATTCTCTCTCTTCTTATTATATAAAAAATAACTTTATTAATAAAATTGTATCATTTCCGCCTTCCGTTTATCATTAGTCAATTAAATTTCTTGCCTTTAAAGCGATATTTTCAGCACAATGTTTAATTTATCGGATATTTTATGTAATTAGATACAACACTGCTTCATGTTTCAGTCCGTAAATGACAATGTATATTTTTGGATATTATCGACTTTTTTGAATTCAAATTTTATGTTTTCCAATGGTTTTCAAAAATTTAAATTTAAACTGAATTGAATGGAATTTATTGCATTACTGAACGATTTTTGGCTATTTCAAATATCATAAATACGTTAAAAATATAACTTTTCTATCATAAAATCTAAACTAGCATAAAAAAACTTCAATATAACAAGAAGAGATTCATGATGAATGAAAAGAATTTAAATACAATATTGTATATACGCTACGAAGTTTATTAGATGTTTTCTGTACTTATTAATTAAAGTCTTCATATTCTAGTAGTGACTGGATTTTGAATGATGAAGAAAGAAGAAAAGAGTGTTTAATATTTGGTTTCATAACAATCATGCTTTAAACAAACAAATTATTAATAAATTGAATGAAGTGTTGAAACGCAAACTTGAGTTATTTACATTAACTCAATGATGATGATGAAGTAAACACTTTTAGCCATTCAGTCTTTATCTAATCAATTCTTTCTCTTTTCATGCTTTTGCCTATCAAATGTAAAGTATCAATGTACATGATGTTGTAAAAAGACAAACTATTGATCCTTTAAAAATTATGGGATATCATATAGTAGAATCACCAAAGGAACCAGAGCTAGAGGATGGAATACCGATAGTTAAAGCTGGTTTGAATATCAAATTGCGGATGTTTGGGACAGGTTTTTCGAATAAAACAATGATTGGATTAACGGCTGAAGCATTCGAGTATGGTGAAAAGTGCCATAAAATTGTTACCGACACTCAGAAAGTGAGCTTCATTATTATTGTAAATGTCAAATTTATAAAGAATTTAATTTATTCTGATTGATTTCACAGATATACGAGTCGTCTTTTGTTAAAGATCGACTGAATGTAGTTGTTGATGTAAAACTACCCGAAGAATCAATGTCATTGTTTATTTGTGCATCGAATGATGGAAATGACTTTTATCATCAAGGAATGGATGAATGGTTGATACTCAAAAGTCATAAGCCATTTCTTCCAATGTGGGTTAATATTTTAATCATTGGTGTCTGCTTATGCTTCTCAGCACTCTTTTCCGGCTTGAATTTGGGTCTGATGTCATTAGACAGGACAGATTTAAAGGTAATATAAAGCACAACAAACTTTTATGGGCGATAAAAATTTATGACATTTTTTCATTCTATTATTATTATTATTCTATATTAGATTTTGTGCAATACCGGTGAGTGAGTCATGTCAATCGTAAATCAATCAATTAATTATTTTTATTGCTGTAATAATTTAAAGGTTCGGAAGGTGAAAGGAGATATGCACGTGCAATTCAACCTGTCAGAGATCATGGAAATTTTCTATTGTGCAGTATTCTTCTAGGAAATGTGTTGGTAAATTCAACATTTACAATTTTACTCGATAGTCTCACGTCAGGTTTGGTAGCTGTTGTTTGTTCAACTCTATTGATTGTCATCTTTGGCGAAATAACTCCTCAAGTAAATTATCCATTAATGACTAATAAAACTTTTAACAGAAATTATTTAATTTCGTTGATTTTTTCAATGTTGCATTATTAATCCATTTAAAGGCTATATGTAGTCGGCACGGCTTGGCTGTTGGAGCTCGTACAATCATAGTAACAAAATTTGTAATGTTGCTCACATTTCCATTGTCTTATCCTACATCAAAAATATTGGATTACTTGCTCGGTGAAGAAATTGGAACTTACTACAATCGTGAGGTATTTTATATTCATTATCTTTGTGATAATACATTCTTTCATGTTCACATGTCGACGCCTCAAGTCTTTGACTAAATCATTTATGTGTCGCAATGTCAACGAACTTTTGGAATTTTAAAAAATAACAGCTTTCAAAAATTTGAATAATTTTGACAAGTTTTTGACGGTTTCGTTAAATTTTGAAATTTCAAAAAGTCGTTTAAAAAGTAAAATTAATAATAAAAAATTTTAAAATACCTTGTAGAGACTGAAAGAATTGGTGAAAGTTACTACAGATGTGAATGATCTTGATAAAGACGAAGTAAATATAATTTCTGGTGTCCTTGAGATGCGAAAAAAGACTGTCGGCGATATCATGACTCACATCGATGACGCGTACATGCTTCCAATAGATGCTATTCTTGATTTTGAAACCATTTCTGAAATTATGAATTCAGGTAGCTAACGCAGCAGTTAATAATGAGTATTAAATAATAGTTTAATTTGTTTAGGATATTCACGAATTCCTGTATATGAGTATGATCGAAAGAATATTCTGTCATTGCTTTACATAAAGGACTTGGCATTCGTGGATACTGACGATAATACTCCGTTGAAAACTTTGTGTGAATTTTATCAAAATGCCTGTCATTTTGTGTTTGATGATTTGACACTTGATGTGATGTTTAAGCAATTTAAAGAAGGAAATAAGGGACATGTAAGATGATTATATATTTATTGTCTGCTACTTCTATAAACAATTTTATTTTGTAATTCTAGATGGCATTTGTGCATCGCGTTAATAATGACGGCGAGGGTGATCCTTTCTACGAAACGATTGGCTTAGTCACACTTGAAGATGTCATTGAAGAATTAATTCAGGCTGAGATCATGGCAAGTGCAACTAGTAGCTAGTGTGTAATCTAGTGATTATTTAACAAAAAATTTAACGTTTTACAGGATGAGACAGATCGGATAACAGACAATCGTACAAAGAGCCGAAGATCGAGACCACAAAAACAAGATTTCTCGTGCTTTATAGGCCGCAATGATACACAGAATGTCCGCATCTCTCCACAGTTGACTTTGGCCACCTTCCAATTTTTGAGCACCAGTGAGCGAAAAAAATTACACAATTCAATGACATTTAATATTAATAAGCATAAAAATAACTCAAAATTTCTTTCTCATTTAAATAGCACTGGAGCCATTTAAGCGAGAATGTATATCCGAGAATATTCTACGACGATTGTTAAATCAAGATATTTATCGTCATATTAAGAATAAGGCAAATAAGAAGAATGATCCGCTAATGTATATCTTCCAGCAAGCTAAGCCTGTTGACTTTTTTGTTATGATATTAGAAGGACGTGTTGAAGTGAAAATTGGAAGAGAGAATTTAATGTTTGAGGGTGGTCCATTTACTCATTTTGGATTACAAGCATTAGTCCAAAATATTGGAATTGATTCCCCTCAACAGCAGCAAGTCAATCAATCCTCAAGTCAAGTCTTGGGATCACTTCAATCATTAAATGTAGACGCAATGCTTCGTCATACATTCATACCAGATTATTCAGTAAAAGCACTTACTGATGTCATTTATCTTGTTGTCAAGCGATCTCTCTACATGGCAGCAAAACGTGCCACATTGATGGAACAATCAAAAAGGATGGGCGGAGAACATAACAATGATCCGATTGACGATGAAGTGGAAAAGGTAAGTCTAATGATATCTTTTAGACGATTTGATACTTGCAATTTATTAATTGTCACAGCTTCTACACTCACTGGACGAAGATGACAGTGCTGTTCATACGAATTTAAATTCACCACGAATGAGTAAACCGACAAGCGTTGCTCCATCGCCAACATCTCAACAAAACTTCTTGCATGCACCACATTCGAGTAATATGCATAATGAGTTGGACACAGGCGTAAGAGTAACATTCACACAAAGCAATTCGACAGGCAATCACGTAATTAATTTCTCAAATTCGCAGAAAAATTCTGTGGATGTTCATGATAATGCCGCCGACAATGAAGCCGAACAACCTTTATTGAATAAATCAGTATCAAAATTATCGTCATAACGCCACGTTAATGAACAGAATCCCAATTTTTTACAATGTTAATTCTATTTTTTTGCGATACGTTAATTCTTCCAAAGATTGATTTTTTTAGTTGACTGAATATGAAAGATGCATTCATTAAATTATTATTATTATTAATATATCCATCCATGATTAAGTTATTATTAAGTTTATCACAAGTTGTTTTCTTTTTTTTTTTATTATCTCCATAAATGTACTTAGACAAGTTTAGTTCCGTTCCGTACTCTTATTATTCGGGTACTTAGACATATAATATCGTCAAAAATATCATTGCCTTAAATAACTTTAGTTTTGTTTACCACGTTTAATTTATTTGCAGCGGATATTCTTTAATCATTTACAAACAAAAAAGGAGATGAAGAATATAAGAATTAATGAAATGTTGAATGTTTGTTATGTTTCATAAGTTTGTTCCTTTTGAACAAAAAGAAGAAATAACAAATTTGTTACTCAAGAAACCCCATGTTTTTGGCTATTATGCATGTACATAAATTGATTCAGAACAAACTCTTAGGAAATTTAATCAAAACAGAACTTCCATAGTTTTTATTTTTCTTATTACTAATTATATAGTCCATAAGAGAAATGCTCTTTTTAAAAGTTAATCCATGATTGTGTTCATACAAAAGTTATTGAAATTCTAAGCTTAAATTTTGACAGCTTTTTGGATGAACACATTTCAAGTAAATCACATAGCACAACACGTACACAGAGAATAATTTCATAATCATATTGAAGCTTGTAAGAAGTTTAGACAGTACATAGAACATACCTTAATTTGCACTTGGCTTATCAATTTTATGTTAATTTTCATGAAACAGATTGACTTTTTTTTTCAAAAACGCAGACAAAAGAAAAATTAATTAAAGTATTTCACCATTTTTGGAAGGCTTGGAAAGTTAATCATGTGATTAAAAATTTTAATCCTTGGATTTAAACTTTATCTAAGCTAATCTCCCGTGTTAGTAGGAATCAGCAAAGAAAACTAATCAATTAGATCAACTAGAAGCAATCGGCTGGGAATTTTGTTTAAAAAAAGGCTTAAAGGAAGATGAAGTTTCACATAAAGAAATCATTTTATTCAGAGCATAAATGATGAAAAAAAAATTTAATAAAATGTTGTACTTATAAAAATGAATTAGTTTTCTGAACTGAACGATATATTTTAAATAAATTACCTAATTAGAATGTTTCATGCAAAAAAGATTTATTAAAGAATATAGAATAACAAAAAAATGAAAAAAATGGTATTAATAAATTAAGGCTCATTGGCAGTTCTTTTATCCATTCGATTCATTCTTTCTAGTTCGAGGCGTTTTGCTGTTTCCCACGAATCAGCATCTAATATTGTCAGACCTTTTGATATTCCTAATAAACGTGACAGCACCAATAATGAATGTAAATGTTCAACTTGAAAACTGTTGGAACTTTCACGCATTTTCACAAAATCAGACTCAATCATTTTAATTTCTTCATCGTTGATATCGAATGATTGCAAGCGGCATTTTGTCAAGTAACGTCTATAAGCATTTAATTTAGGTCTCATATAATGAATGCCAGCTGCGAAATGCTCGTTAATGAGACGAACTGAATCTGCGTCAGCAGGTTTGACTGGAACTGCGAAATCACTCTAAAAATGTACACAACTATTATTTTAAATATATTTGAGATGGTTAAGGATGTAGGAACTTACCGGCAAAAGAGACTTTCCTTCACTTATTATCAATACTGGGATATCCGTTTTAAATGGAATTTTGTAGAATTGAAAGTCATAATTGAGTTGTTGAGAACGAATAAGATCAGAGAGATCTTGAACTGCAATACATCCAGCTTGATCTAATTTTCCATTTTCAAGTTTTGTTTCATCAAGAATGATGTGAGTACTTTTTGGAAGCTGTAAGACACCAGTGCTTAAATTATTTGTAACATAATCCTTTTTCGGAATGAAACTTGAGGTGTTAAGATTCTCAATGGTCATTGGAAAGTACATTGAATTTGGTACGAGAATTTCAAAGAGATTGTAAAGCTTCTTGACATATTCAGTCATGATTTCTGAAGGTACGGCATGAGTAATGAGATTTAATGTGAATTTTCCAAGAGCTTCTTCATTAACTCGAGAGTATATGCAGGAAATGAGATGACACATCATGTAATGTGCAACAACTTCATCACCAAATGAAAATTGTGTAAAAAGTTTCATCAAATCTTGTCTAATATCTTCTAATGACTGATCATGCTGTTGACAATTTTCTGGCTCGTGAATAATGATTGGATTATTGTGATCGAGTTCTTTAAATAAAATCGCATGAATTGTATATGCTGGTAAATGAGCTTCTGTACTATCATCATCTTGTTCCATGCTATCACTTTGAATATGAGTATTTGCATGCAGAAATCCAATTACTTCTATAAACTCATTTAATTTAATCTCAGTTGCATCATAAACTTTCAATAAATATGTCTTTTCATTTTGAACATTATCAATCTTCCGTTTGTTCGAATTCATTGAAACAACATTATAATCTTTAATCCATGAATTATTAGTGTCTGATTCAGTAATGAAGCAAATTTGTCGTTCAGCTAAATTACTTCCTGGATCATCACAACTTTCATTATCCAAAATATTAAGCTTGTCTGAATACTTTCCATTTCTAACCGATACTGTTCCATCTGCCTGAGTAACTTCATATTTAGCACAGTAAAATTCTGGTTCCTTTATGTCAGTTATCATAAAGTGATTAAGCAGCACTAAAGAATTGTTTTCCTTAAAATGAAGATTACTTCTTAATTCAATTTTCTCTTCAAGTGACAATCCTTTCTTCAACTTTTTAAGACACTCTTCTTCATGGCACAAGAAGTAATCCTTTGTCCAGTTGTATATCGGTTCCATTGCTAGTATAATTAAAGAATCACGTTTTCAGCCTTTAAGTATCAAATTCGCGCCAAAACAGGGGTCTCAACTTTTAATAATTACTCTATTTCTTGAATTCACTCGAATTTTAAAACTGATTCATGACATATAGTGTTATTTACAAAATCCTGACTATAATGCTTGGAGATTAATCAAAGTCGATAATTTTGATTAATTGCTGTGAACTGTCACTTTTTTGAAATCCTGGACCCCTCGAAGGGAAGGAACTGCGCGATTACTGTAAACAATTCAAACGGATGAATTTAAAATTTAATTCAAAGAAGTTCGCATTAATTTAGTTAAAAAGTGTCTAAAGATGATGAATACGGAAGCAAATATATATACGGACTATGAGCTTGCTGGAAATATGATGGAAGAGCATGAAAAAAGAGATCAACAAATCTCTGTAGAGGTATTTTGCATTTTTCAAAGATTTTTTTTTTCAATTCAAACAAACTTTAATTGGTGCTGGATTATGCTCTATTGAGGATTTTATAGCTTATTCAGACAGACTAAATGTTAATTAAAGCATACAGCACTTGATTCGGCATAATTGGCTTATGTTTATATGATATTAACCTCTAATGTGAAATTTACCGGATATTTATGCTTAATATTGTCTATTTTCAGGGAGTTCTTCAAAGGCAAGGAGGATTCAGTGGGTTAAATGATTTCGATTACCAGGATTTATCAAATTTGACGGAAGGACGCGTCAAGGAATTGCAGCAAATAAGAACACTCAATAAAATTCCGATTCCTAATGAAATTATGGAAAACTTTAAAAGTAATGCAGCATAAAATTAACATTAATCCAGCATAAATCAAGTTTATTGTCTTACAGATATCAAATGTCACTGTAGAATGGGTCTGTTTCCAGAAATCGGTCGAGCTTGGCTTACAATTGATTCCGATATTTATGTATGTAATTTTTTTTTTATGAAATTAAACAACATTTCTAATAATCCTTAATTCCTGTAGATTTGGACGTATGAGCATGCAAGGGATGTTGCATACTTTGATGGTCTGAATCATTTAATCGTAAGCGTCGGACTGATAAAACCAAAACCAAATGTCTTTATAAATGATGTCAAATATCTTTTGGTTCTGACGACTCCAATTGAAATTGTAGTTTTAGGAGTTACTTTTGGAGATACTACAAAATCCGTTACGACCCCGTCCTTTCTTTCGTCTTCTTTTGATGAAATGCAGTTGATGAACAAGCCAATTTTTGTAATAAACACTGATAATGTTGCCATAACTTGCATTGAAGGAACTAGCGATGGAAGAATCTTTCTTGGTGGACGAGATGGATGTCTTTATGAGATAAGCTATCAAGCTGAATCAAATTGGCTTGGGAAACGATGTAAAAAAGTCAATCATTCTCAAGGTCTTTTATCGTATGTCCTTCCTGGATTTCTCAAAGGTTTCACGGTACGTCTTTAACATTTTTTGGATTGACATTCAATATAATTTCATGTTTATTCTGTTCAGGACGATGCCATAATGAAAATTGTGATAGACAATCAACGTTTTTTACTTTATACACTTACTGAGAAAGGAGCTATTGAAGTGTGGGATTTACAAGATAATTCAGCAAGACGAGTCATGAGATTGTCACAAAATGATGTAACAAATGCGGCAGTAAATCATATAAAGACAGTCGATTCATCAATATTCAAACCTGTTGTTGACATTTGTGTTCTTGAACGTGATGAAAATCCAAATCTATATATGATTGCAGTTACTCAAAGTGGCGTTCGATTTTATTTTGGTGGATACACGGGAATGTATAATACAATGATGGATCCACAACAGATGCAGCAACAATCACAAAGACTTCAAAGTCTTAATTTACAGCATGTTCGACTAGCGCCTGGATATACACCAAATACAAATTATGGGAAACCAAAGAATGTCCATTCAATGTATTACAATTCAGGATCTGTTTTGCTAATTTCGACACCTCAACAGGAACAAGATTTATTGTGGTCATTAAGTTCCGAACCATTTTTACACTCAGAATTGAGTCCATTAATAACTGCAGATTCAGGCCATCGAATGCTTACAGAATCATCAACAATTATGCATTTAGATGGATCAGTTTGGGCTGTTGCTGACATTAAAGATAGAAGTCAATTGTCATTAAAATATCCATTAAAAGAAGCCCAAAGACCGAAGAAAGTAATTTTATTGACATCACAAGGAGCTCACATTGTGGAACTGCTTAAACCTGTTGACATTTTACAACAATTGTTTATGTCATGTCATGGAGCTCATAATGATGCTGTCAAGTCATTCTTTGAATTACAAAGTGAGCCAGAAAGTTGTGCAACAAGTTTATTATTATCATGCATGGAATCAATGAAAGGAACTGAAATGTCAATGTGGGCAACACAAGCATTTTTCCGTTATGGCGGTGAACCTTATTTCTTTAATCATCAACAAGAGAATATTCCAAGAATGTTTATGTCTACTCCATATGCTGCTTCAAGACCCAATCAACCAATGCAACCAAGTATGATGCAACAAACACAAATTCCCGGAAGTACTTCGTTCCATCAACAAACCCAACAAATTGATTTATTTAATTTGAGGTATTCAGCAAAGCATGGCGGTCTTTATCTTCACATTGCAAGGATCTTACGTCCAATTTGGAATCGAAAGTGTATTGATAATAAATTATCAAGTACAATAACAATTCAAGATTGTAATCAAATTTTAAGTGACTTGTTTGCCATCCGTTCATTTTTGGAATCGAATACAGTCGGTGGAATTGCAAAGAATAGTATGAACATTCTTAGTGCAAATGCTTATACATCATTCATGACAACAACTCAAGGAAACATTTTAAATGGATTTGGATCGAACAATCAACAAATTCAGCATCCACAGAAGAAAGAAGAAGCATTTGCAGAAGAGAAAAAGTCACTGGATGCATTATTTAATTTTATCAAGTATGTGTGTGAAGTCTTTTCATTGTGGAAGATTCTCTGTGAGCATCAATTGCATGTTTTGTTAGGACAATTTCCAGTTGAACAGCGTCAATTAATTGAGACGTGTACTTTTCGTGATTTAATTACCATCAGAAATGACTTGTGTGCATTTTTAATTGTTACAATAATTAACTCGTACCTCAATGATAATGCAAGTGTTAAATTGATATCAGAGAAATTACGAGAAGTATGTCCAACACTTTATAGAAATGAAGATGCTGTGTCACATAAAGCTACAGAAATCTTGAAATTATCTAAAAATTGTGTCAATGAGGATGAAAAGTATGAACATTATTTAAAAGCATTAGAATTGTGCATTCAGGCAGCTCCAAAACTCCCACTTGCAACCATTTGTCAACAATTCTCAGCTGCTGGATTTTATGAAGGAGTCATTAAATTATGCACAACTTTTGCAAATAAATTAGATCCAAACGAGACAGCACTTCATTTCTACAGAAATAATTATCCGTTTGACATCAATCAAATGCAAATTAAGGATCAAGAAGGATATTTTGCTTACAGTAATCGTATGAAATGTTATGAGGAAGTCAAGAATATGTTTCAGTTTGTTTTTAGAAATCTTTCAACGCCTGGAAATAATGAGCAGCAACAAAGTATGAGTCAACAACTCCAGCATATTTTAAATGTTGCATTACAATCGACAGATCAATTGCTTCATGTTGCTGTCTACGAATGGATGTTATTTAACAATTTATTGGTCGAGATGCTAAGTATTACAAATAGCTCACTGGGTGACTTCTTATCACGGTCAGTCACTCAAACACCAATTAATCTCCAACTTGTAGATTTATTATGGAAATATTTTGAACGAAATGGACAGCATGCGTCAGCTGCTAAAACTCTTGATAAATTAGCAACACTTCATAGTGAAAAGATTCCATTGTCAAAGAGAATTGAGTATTTAGCACGTGCTGTTATGTCAATGAGAAGTGACACAGTTGGATATTCTTCGCATCACGGAGAAATGCTAAGAGATCTTGAGGATAAGCTTGAAGTAGCACAAATTCAGAAACAAATTTATGATACTCTAACAACTGGCGATATTGCAAGAAATATTGATCCTATACAAGTTAGGGAGGCAGTAAGAAGCTTAGATATTAGATTATTTAACATGACTCAATTGTATTCTGATTTTGCCGAGAACTTTGATTTGTGGGAATGTCAATTGACGATACTAAACTCGTCACATCACAATGAAGCACGACTTATTAATTCTGTATGGAGTCATATTCTAGACAAAGAGCTTGATGATCCAGGAAGTAACTCAGAAAAGGCTCAAAAATTATTGTCAAAGGTTCAGAGTTTAGCTAGTGAATTTGGTGTCAGCCCATGCTTTCCTTTAGGTAGCTATTTAAATCTCACAATTTATTTTTTTTAATCCCACGATTAATTTTAACACTCATCCATAGATTATTTAATAGGAGAACTTGAGTTGAGATGTTTCCAGTTAAGACTGTTAAATTCGCCAGTTCCAGAAGCTCTGTTCAAGATTAATGCTGATGTAGATCTTATGCTGGATATTTATACTAAAATTGTGACTGCAAATGATCGAATTTGGCTATCTGGACATGATGAATTGTATTTAATCAGATCAGTTAAGAAAGCACTAAGCTTAATCATCCAAAAGCATCTTTCCCTGTCAAAAAATAGGTATGTAATCTAATGCTAAAATATTAAGGCTTATACTTATTGCCATTACATTTTCACAGACGAAGAACAATCGCAAAAATGGAGGACTTGATATCAGCTAGTTTAAATGCGCTATATACCAAGCAGGGAACACAAGAAACAAAGGAAATTACAGACGAATTGAGGAGTCTTCGTCAGAGCATCAATGTCTTCAATTGATCATTTATTAAATACTGAAAAATTAATCTTAATTATATTATTTTTGAATAAATAAAGGCATAACATGAAACTAATTTTCAATAAATGGATCTTTTCATTTATTTAACTTTAATCTTGTAAGATGGAAATACATTTTATTCTTTGTCAACAAATGTCAATGTACATTTGCCACAGTATGCACGATTCTCATGTGCAGCCATGAAAACTCCAGCTCCGCATGTTTCAGCAGGACATTCACGTCTCAAGCGGTGAATCTTTCCATTCTCATCGACCTAATTGAAGAATTTTAAAGGATATTTATTATAAACGATTGTCATCAAATTTGTGGTATAGAATGCTTACCTTATAGTATTTCAAGACGGCGAGTTTGACCTTCTTTCGCTTATGCTTAATTTTTTTGGGTGTTGAGTAATTCTTCTTCTTACGTTTCTTGGCACCACCTCGAAGGCGCAACACTAAGTGAAGTGTTGACTCTTTCTGAATATTGTAGTCGCTCAATGTGCGTCCATCCTCTAATTGTTTACCGGCAAAGATCAATCGTTGTTGATCTGGAGGAATTCCTTCTTTATCTTGAATTTTAGCCTTAACATTTTCAATCGTGTCCGATGGCTCGACTTCGAGGGTAATTGTCTTACCCGTCAAGGTTTTGACGAAGATCTGCATGGTGAATCTATAAAGAAGAGAGTAAGAGAGATGCGATTAATTCCTTTTGTCCATCAACAAGTTCCTTAATGCTACAAGAGAAAATTAGATTATTTTTGTTAAAATATTTATTGATTCCTTAAGAATTACAGCGATTTCATAAACTTATAAAATGAAGTTAAACGAGCAAAACGGCATTTATACATCCATCATTTTCTGGATTGTTTGTCACTTGAGCATACTTTCCCCAAACAACTTTACCCGTTTGTGTCACTAAACCTAATTCTGAAATGTTCACTTCTATCACTGTTCCTTTTGTAATTACACCCAAGCTTGTGTACATGGCTGAATTTGGATTCTTTTTGACTCCAATGATTGGTAGATGAAAGGTTGCCTTCAATTCTGGATGTGTGACATGAGCTGTTTTGAAACGTAAACCCATTGGACGAATGAATCTCTCAAACTTTGGTGGTTTTCGTGTGAAATTCTCTCCAACAAATGTTACTTTTGTTACCATACGTTTCCATGCCTTTCGCTTGGTTTTTCCACTTCTGAGAACTTTAAAGACTTCAGCATCTGATTGAGTTCGTACTTTTGGAATTGGTACATCCCATTTTCCAGCCTTTTCCTTTCGCTTCTGTTTAATCATGTTCGATAAAACTTTAGCACTCGATTGAATACCACGATCCAAAAGATATGTAGGCAATGCTCCATCTTCGACCTTTTCAGCCTGCTTCTTAACTTTCTTCTCTTCATGTGCCTGGATTTTACGTTTCATCTGGATCTTTTCATTGCGACGATCTTTTTGGAATAGTTTTGCCTTAATTCCTCTCAATTGACGTGCTTCCTTTGCTCGCTTCTTCGGTGCTCTTGCTTCCTTTTTACGAAGTCTTTCCTCGTAATCTAATCGCCGTCCGTACAATTTACGGTGACGTTCCATGTACTCGTTTTGTGGCATGATTGGTGTTTGTTTTAAGTTGATTCAAATCTAAAAAGATATAAAGGAACATTAAGATTATTAGTTTTTATAGTCATAATTCCAAATATCAGATTTCTTTATTTTGAGGTTAGAATAAACTATTTCATTTTTTTAACTAATCGCTATCATTATTTTGCTCAAGTGCACGCGAATTCTAGGGAAATCTGTATTTGAATTATGACTTTGTCAATTTATGCTTTAGTCACTCACCTTTTAGTTTAATTAATTACTCCTTTTCTTTGCTATATCTTAATTTTTCTATTTTTGCTTCAAAAATCACTCACAAAAATTAACAGATATCCCTTAAATTCATGTACAGCTTAACTATGTTTAAACTTGTTGTCAGATATACTTTAAACTAATTTGATTTATTTAATAAAGAGGTGAGTGATGAAGGAATCTTGTAAAATTTTGTTTTTGCACCATGTGAAAAATTATTTCACAACTTTACGGCATTAATACATTTAAATTGAGTATGCATTTGATCAATTCTTGTTGCTTGCTCGTTTAACTTCAATATTATCATCGATTTACTTAATTAAACTACTTATTTCTATTAAAATTATTATTTTTGTTAAAAATTACCTTTACTTCAAAACACCAGTCAATTCGAAAAGAAAGAAAAATGGCGTTGCTACTTTAAAGGGTATTAAACTATGATTCTGTCAGTTTATTTTGAATTTAAGAAATCCGTTGATGTTTTTTTGGTTTCAAAAAATCTTTATTGAGATTCATGCAGACAGTATAAAGCATATATATCCAGTAATTATAAATGTTTATAATGGTTTATAATAATAATAATGATGAAATTTCAAGCATGTATTCATATCAATAGCTTTCAAAAAGGAAGTAAGCTAAGCTTGAAGCTAAATCTTTATAAAGATTTTCTTAAGTTGAATTGTCAGACTAAGGAACAGAACTTAATAATAATAGGAATGGATATGCGATTCTAAGAACCCAGTCATGGAATATAAAAATAAAATAAATGGAATAATGTGACAACATGTTTGACTTAATGACTCGTTCGGGTGCACATAAAATGATAATAATAAATAAGTAATACAGTTGGGGATCATGTTGTGGATGTATAAAAAGTAGAATAATCTCATAAGCAATAAATTATCAATGGTAATGGTCGCGATATATAATAATGTATTCAAATGCACAGTCATTATTTTCGTAGCATTGCTAGTTTTGGAAATGCTTTGCTGCTTAAAATGCTACAAATGTTGGAGGAAATGCATGTATTTAGCTTAGCGATAAAATTTCACTTCAGCCTCAACGCAATCCTTTAATAATTCATCCAATTCTGGAGTTGGGACATTGTCTGCAAAGCCATCAACCTCATCTACGCATGACTTTTCTAGAGTTTTCAATAAATCACCAACTTGGTCCCACTTACGATTTGAATGCAATTGTCGTAACAATGGTTCGTCTTCCTCGCTCTTTATAGTTGTCAAAGGAGAAATGCGAACATCGGATGTGAATATAAATGGTTTAAAGACTGATTCTCGTGGATTTTCAGTTCCAGTAAACCAATGTACAGAAATTGGCTCTTTCAAGACACCCACGAAACTTGATGCAATATCCTGAGATGACTTTTCTGCTGAGCATCTAAGTACCTCAAACATTTGTTGTGCATTAAATCCACTCGTTGGCTCCTCACATGGCCACTTCGATTCAGAAGCAGTCATTGAAACAGCATGACTAAAATTAAGTTCTCCACTGCCATCATATAATCCAAGATCCTTTAGCTTATCTCCTAAATTTTCAGATTTCTTATCGATTTTTGTCGTAACTCCAAATCCATTGCTAAATGCACGAAAAGCTTCCGTAATTTTTTCTGCTGCCCACAAGTTTCCAAATATATCTAGGACATACGCAGTATTCATATCACAAATGAAGAAGCTATATTGTGCTACAGACACCTCTTCATTATAGTCTTCGATCAATTTTGTTACAACATCTAGAGCACCGTCTGCATTTTCGGCTCGTTCGAGTACCAGCCTGAAATTAAAATTTTAATGAGTCATGAGACATGTGTCATGCATGAATAATCATACTTAGTGAGATCAAGTGCTGAGAGTCCTTTTTCAGGCTTTTTATCAGCAAAAAGTGTAGAAATTGAGACATTTTTTTCATTGGATCCGCAAGTTCCATTTAGAATGTATGCAAAAGTTGGTCCAGTCGATGTTACTTCGACAGTTGAGAACTAATGAATTAAATCAATTATTAAAGCAGGAAACGTATGGAATTGGCTGGCGAGAAAAATTTTTCTTTTTCTTTTTTTCAGTCAGTCACTTACCTTAGTCGTTCCATTTTCATTCGCCGAAAAATATGAAATTTCCTTACAGCAAAAGCTTAAACTATTACGTCCATAAATTATAGTACCATTATTTGTTAAAGGAGCTTGAACCATGAAAACTTCACTGCCCATTTTACTAGATTTTTATTTAATAATTTTACAGTTCTTAGAAAGTTTTTGTGATGGCGAAGAGGGTTTTGCTTAATAATTTTGAATATCAAATTCGGTTATGCTTGCTTCCGCACATATTTCCATACAACAATTATGCTGATTCTATTTTCGTCTCTTAATCCCACTTGACATTTGTATATACTGGTATATACTGCTAGATATATAGTGTTAATACTGATTAGATTGCGTTTAGGGAGATAAAGTAAGTTTACTGGATGTTATCAATGACAACGTGAGTAAAACGTGTCAATATTCCTAACGGTTTTTGAGATTTGAAATTTTTATCAATCATTAAAAATGATTATTTAAATGGAAAATCTTTTCTAATAAAATTATTATTTAATCCAGAGCTTTAGTGAATGAGTCTCAGTTAAAGGTGATATAAAAATGAGTCAAGAATCAGGTGCTGGAGGAGATAAGAAGAAACATAAGACCGTAAGTCTAATTATTCAATTTGTTTTTTTTTGCCAACCTGGAACTTGCGAAGATTTCAAAATATTAATGATGAAAAATCATCAAAACACTACATTTAAGCTTTCTAATCTCACTTTAGAGATAACAGTTATATAGCCATTGATAAGAAAAATTGTCGAGATAAACTTCCTCAATTTTGTGTTTACAAAAATATGAGAATGTTAATGCAAGATCCAATTATCGGTAATTATATCCATTGAAACTGGATGTTTGTTTGGAATAACTATATTTGATCATAATGATTGAAAAAAACTGATGACATATCAATAAACTCGAACTGCTCTTCATATAAGTAATATTCATATAAACCATATGTTCTGTGCCTAGCAATTCTCTTTTATTACTCTGCTGCATATCTCATTTACGTTGAACATTATGCCTGGGTTGTATCTAACCGAACGATTATAAAAAAGCTTTCTCTCCTCTCTTCATCTCCATAAAATAATATCATTTAATAATACGGAATATTGTGAATTGGTGACTTTCTTTTACTCACAGTAAATGTTAGACCGTCGTATAGTTAAAACGTACAAAAATTGTATTATCAAGTATCGCATTTATTAGTTCTTAATTGCCGATCAAGTATTTTTCGGGCAAAAATGTTTGTTAAAAGAAGAAAAGTTGTTAACTTCAACAATAATGACATGCTGGATAACAACAATTTCCCAATCTTTAATCACAAAATACTGACAAGGTTCTGTCTTAAGCATAAAAGTAATTGCGACGGGTGTTCTGAACAGGTAACAAAAAAAAAAGGAATGTTAATGGACTTTTAATGAATTTGACACAGTTATCGATATTGAAATCAAGTTATTAATAATAACGGCACTTAATATTATCTTGATTACGCTAACAAATCCCCAGCCATCTATTCAATCTTAAGACATATTGTGGATGCGAAAAATTATATAACAACATTAATTTCTCATAGTCATGTTGTTTTTATTTGCCATTCTTCATGCCATCAACAACAACAACAACAACAGAAAAAAATGAGCATAAAGCATGATCAACTTTGCATCATTACCTCCTATATTATTTGTTGTTTAAAAGTGAAATCTGTTGTGTCTTTCCTCACGTTTTATCCAATGCTTTGACTTTATGTTATTTACGGCATTAATGCGACGCTCTTAAATCATTTTTTAATGTCTGTGGGAATAAATTTAATTAAGGAATTTCCAAATCTCCTCACGTTAGTTCGATAATAATAGAATTTTATCCTTCACTGGCATGGCACTGATAAAATGTATGTATATTTTATATTCCAATAACTCAGAGTTGTAAAATAAGAAACTGACATGTGCCAACGATTTTGAAGTGTCTTGTCAATTTTCATAAATATTCCAGACACTTTTTCTTGTGCCTAAGACATATTAAGACGCAATTTTCGTTAAGCAGCATCTACTCTTGTGTATAATATTCAAATAAATCAGAATTTTTTGTATAGTTTCTGTTTGCTGTCTGTCCTCGATGATTTGAGAACATTCTAATCTCGAGATTAAGTCTATTCATGAGATTAATTTTGATCCGGAGAATTTGATGAATTCAAGAAATTCCAAAAAGTTAAAATAATAATAATATATATGGAAAAAAGTGAATGCAGATGATGAAATACTTGATGTAATTTAATTCTGGAATGTTTGCAGCATGTACTTTCCCGAAAACAATAATCGATTTCTATGAAGCGATTAACTGTAACTGATTAACTGTGACTGTTTCAAGGTCAATTAGCTATGAATTTGGAAAATCCTTATCAGAACAGCTTTGATATCACGTAGACGTGGGCATTTTCTGGGAAACTTTAATCTTGTCTAAACTTTAACCGAACGTGTCACGTCACGGATTTTTGCATTTATGTACCCACACCAAATATGATTAATTGTTTGATTGATAAGAGCTGGCGATAAAGACAATGTGATATAAGACTTAACCTCCTTAAGTGCTATATCGGGAAAGTTTGTCTGTAATGGTTGACGCTATAATTCGTTAGTACTAGTACATCATATAAAAGTCGAGTTGATATAAAAATAAAAACGGAGTTGAAGTTAAAAAATCAAAATAATAATCAGTTAAGTGTTGCTCATTGTGGAAGTCGAATGTACATTTTTTTTGTGTCGATCATCAGAACAGAAGCTTAACTAATATACTACAAAATAGTAAAAAAATTTTAATCTTGAAATTAACAATTTTTGAGTAAACAGAAATTCTAAACAAGTATAATTATGCGAGTCCGACCTACAAACAGAAATGTAAATTTTAATAATTTAAAACAAATATTTGGACCTGTAATCTTAATTATTGGAATTTTTTTATCATTCTTTTATTTGAATTTCATGTAGTGCCTTCAAGTAGCAACGAATGTCACTGAGCAGAAGCATCATGTTACACGTGAAGTAAGAGGACAGAATTTGGGCTTATGTCGTGGCTTCCGTGGATGTACAGTTTGGTTAACAGGTAATTTTTTCGCATATCATCATTGTTATTAGTTTATAGACTAGTTTTAAAAATAGCAACAGTTTGTTTGCCTATATTGCTTGATATGATACGTGGAATATATTCAAATTAATTTAAAGTTTTTTTTTCTTCTCCATCTTATAACAGGCTTGTCTGGTGCTGGAAAGACATCAATTGGATTTGAATTGGAAGCGTTTTTAGTGTCAAAAGGCATTCCATCATATGGCCTTGACGGAGATAATATTCGTACTGGGTTAAACAAGAATTTGGGATTCTCGCAAACTGATCGTGAAGAGAATATTCGTAGAGTTGCAGAAGTGGCAAAATTGTTCGCTGACAGCGGCGTTGTAACTATTTGTTCCTTCGTATCACCATTCTCTGAAGATCGTGACATGGCACGAAGAATTCATAAGGAAGCCGATTTGAAATTTTACGAAGTTTTTATCGATACACCTTTATCAGTTTGTGAGTCGCGTGATGTCAAAGGTCTTTATAAGAAAGCTCGTGAAGGTGCTATCCAGGGATTTACAGGTGTTACGCAAGCTTATGAAGCCCCTGAACAACCTGATTTGATTGTCAAAACAGAAGAACTTACCATCCAAGAATCAACTGCTAAAGTTGTCGAGCTTCTTGTCTCTGAAAATATCATACCAAAGTCAATGAATGATTTTGATGTAAGAACTTGACATTACTTGACATATTCAAAAATTCCATACTGATTATAAATAAATTTTATATTCATCTCATTAGGGCGTTAGGGAACTGTTAGTTCCAGCTCACAGAAGTGATGCCCTTAAAAGTGAAGCACAAACATTGCAAACGCTAGAAATAAGTACGTTAGACTTACAATGGCTACAAGTATTAGCTGAAGGATGGGCATCACCTTTAAGTGGATTCATGCGTGAAAAAGAATACTTACAAGCACTCCATTTCAATTGTTTATTAACCGATGAAGGAACTGTCGTTAATCATTCCATTCCTATTGTCTTACCATTAACTGAAGCTGATAAGAATCGACTTAAAGACGTTAGTGCTTTTACACTTACTTACGAAAAGAAACCAGTTGCGATTTTACGCAATCCAGAATTTTATTTCCAACGAAAGGAAGAAAGAGTTAGCAGACAATTTGGTACGAGTAATCCCGATCATCCTTACATCAATTTGATTATGGAGTCGGGCGATTATCTCGTCGGTGGAGATATTGAAGCATTAGAAAGAATAAAGTGGAATGACGGTTTAGATGATTACAGACTAACGCCAAATGAAATCCGTAAGAAAATTAATGATATTGGTGCTGATGCTGTTTTCGCATTTCAATTAAGAAATCCTATTCATAATGGACATGCCTTATTAATGAAAGATTGTAAGAGACAGTTATTAGATCAGGGATATAAAAACCCCGTTCTTTTACTTCATCCATTGGGTGGCTGGACAAAAGAAGATGATGCACCGTTAGATGTTCGTATGGCTCAACATCAAGCTGTTCTTGATGCTGGAATTTTAGAGCGCGAGAGTACAATTATGGCAATTTTCCCATCTCCAATGATGTATGCAGGTCCAACAGAAGTTCAATGGCATGCAAAGTCAAGAATGAATGCTGGTGCTAATTTCTATATTGTAGGACGTGATCCAGCAGGAATGGCTCATCCAAATAAGGAACTTTATCCTGATGGCAATTTATATGATGATTCACATGGCAGTAGAGTACTTAAAATGGCACCAGGACTTGATTCCATTGTTATTCTTCCATTTAAAGTTGCAGCTTATGATAGATCCGTTGGTGAAATGGCTTTCTTTGATCCAAAACGTAAGGATGACTTTTTATTCATTTCTGGCACAAAAATGAGAGGATTTGCAAGAAACGGAGAACTTCCACCTGACGGATTCATGGAACCAAAAGCTTGGAGTATTCTCGCTGACTATTATAAATCCCTCGCCAAGAATTAAATTTATTTCTATTTCCATTCACTTCCCTAACAAGCAACGAGCATAAATTCTTTTAAACTCTCTACAGACAAATAGATTTCATATGATCAGCATGCTTAAAAAGTTTTTTGACTTGGGGAACAACCATATTGAACCATATATAATATTAACATGCTCATTGCTTGTTAGGTACTGTACTAATTTAATATAGTATTCACCATTTTAAATGTCCTGCTTTTATATATTTTTAACTTATTGTAATGTCATTAATTATACTTTTAAAGAAAAATGAATGACTTTAGTCAATCCATATAACAAAGAGAGAAATTTTTTATAATATATTAAACGAATTAAAGAAAAAATTTTTATTCTGATATTTGACAAACGTAAGGACATATGTATAATAAGGTTCAATAATGTCTAGTTAAAACAAATAAAAAAAAAAAAAAAAGAGTTTTTTCAATGAAATGAAAAATAACAAAAATATCAAGTGCACATATGTTATGCTATATACTTATAAGAAGAATAAGATCATTAATAAATGTTTACTTTTAAATTTAATCATCAAGTTTGAAATCAGCTTCCGATGAAATGACACCACAGTTGTAAAATATCTCACAGACGAAATTCTTAATGAGTTTACTTTCAGGAACATGATCAGAATCGCTTTCATAAAAATGATGAGTGATTTTTCTTGCCATTAATTTAAATAAGCCTTTTGGGTCCGGTCCTGTGATTTTCTTCTCGCGATAAAAGGTATTGAGTGAATTAACAACAATTTCGGATATTTTATTTTTATTGCGCTTTCTTTTCTTCTCCGTATCGTCCGAACCCGATGATGCTGTTGCTGTCAACATATCTGATGCTTTTCGAAAATCATTTTCCATTCGGATCTTCTTGATTGGACTCTTATCAAATGTTGGATCTTCCATTTTTCGCTTCAAATCGCTGTTTTTTCGGACTTGATCGAATGAAAAGTTATCATTATCGTCAGCCTTTTCTATTTTCGTTTCATGAATCTCTATTATGTCATCGTCTTGACTTTTTTCATCGTTTGTTGATAACATTTCAAGTTCACTGACCAAATCTTGCTTCTTTAGTTCTAATTTCATTATTTCCGGATCGTCAAGTTCGTTGTCGTCATTGTCATCATCATTATTTTCGTCTTCAGTTACTATCATTAAGTCATTATTGTCATCGTCTTGTGATGATATTTCAATTATGTCCGGATCAGGTTTGTTTTTTGTGAAAAATTCATTTATTTTCGATTGAGTCTTGCCATCCTTATAGCTTTGTGTGTCTTTAGTCAATTTGTTGTTTTTCTTTGAGTTCTTACTATTATTATTATTCTTTTGTTGAATCTCATCCTCCAATTCATTAATTACATCCTTTCCATAACGATCTTTTAAGTCACTTACTATCGTTTTATAATCTCCACCATGAGATTTATGCTTCTGAGGTATATGATTTTTTGTGCCTGTAAACAATCCACTGGAACTTTTAATATTGTGCACCTCCTTTGCAATATTTCGTCGATAAATGCTGATTGCTTTACATGAATTAAAACAATTATATTCAATTTCTATGGCTATATCCTCAAGATCTTTATAAGCTAAAGGATGCAATGGATTATCAGGTGGATTATATAGAGCACATTTTTCCATATTATTCTTTAAAACTGACGTCAATAGCGTTAAATTTTGTTCGCGAGTGGATGTTGTTAAACCAGAAACTTTTGTTTCTGTCGAGCCTGCACTTCTTACACGCGAGATTGATGTTGATTCGTTCATGCTCATTGCTGCTGCTGCTTGCATTTTTCTCAATGCAAATTGCTTCTCAATAAATGTCCGTTCAGCCTTTCTATCAGGCTTTTGATAAGACCCACTTCCGTCACTATCGTTATCATTATAATCATCAAATCCACCTCTCCTTGAATTATGTGAACGGCCACCTGTTGACGTTTTAAGTGTTATTGAACGTGATTTAATTTTTTATTCTTTTTTTTTATCAAGCTAATCAATAAATTACCTTCATAAAGATCTGATGGATCGTCATCTGCTGGATTCTTAGCATGCGTAGAATATCCAACAGAGAGTTTGTGAAATACTTGAAGCTTTTCGACACATTTACTCTTATTCTTACAATGATCACACATTTCGAGACATTTAGGCTTTGGATCACCAAAATATTCTGTAAATAAGAGATGTCTGCATGTTGCACTTTCACAGTGATCGACCATCTTTCCGAATTCTTTTATTGTATTTTTCGCTCTTAAGTATTTATCTGATTTCTCATCCTTGCATTTATTCAAGTCTTGATTCAGCAAAAATGTAATACTCTTGACTTCGTCTCGATCATAATACAGTCTACAATAAGACTTTTTTCCATCTCTGCCTGCTCTACCTGATTCCTGATAAAATGCGGCGATATTTTGACTAATATCCCAGTGTACAACTAATCTTACTTGTGCCTTATCTATTCCCATTCCGAAACTTATTGTTGCTAAAAACAAAAAATTAAAGTCTTAAATGATAAGAAAGTGAATTATTGTGGAATTAAGGAACATACCAACGATAACAGATATAATACCATTCATCCATTCGTCTTGGATTTTCTCTTTTTCTGACGTCTTAAGTCCAGAATGAAACGCTTTGCAAGCTAATCCCTGTTTTCTAAGCCCGAGAGCTACACTTTCTGTTGTCTCTTTCTTTCGGCAATAGACTATAGCACACGGCTTTTCGGTTCCTTTAAGATCCTTTTGTGACATTTCTTTTGATAAGCATTTATTAATGTAATCATTAAGTTCAATGAAATCATCACGCATTGAGTTTTTGTAAATTATATCATAATATAAATTACTGCGAAAGCATGATACTTGAAATATTTCTGCATTCCTAAATCCCAAGTTTTCAAGAATGTCCTTTCGAACTTTTACTGGTGCTGTGGCTGTTAGTGCTATCCATTGAATTGACGGATACTCTTTTCTCCACTTTCCCAGTTTAAGATAGTCTTTACGAAAGTCGTGACCCCAACAAGATACACAATGAGCTTCGTCTACAGCAACAAATCTATCAAAAGAGATTATAATTGTTAATTAACATAACTAAACTTATTAATTGTCAATAATCGATTGCCTTACGCAATTTTCTGGAATTTGACGAGAACTTTAAACAAGTCTTGAAATGTGCTAGTAGCCGCTTGTTCTGGTGTTATGTATAGGAATTTAGTTTCAGTCTTTTTTGCCTTTAAATCTCCCAATATTTGATCTCGTTCCTTTGAACCCGTCGTTGAATTTATTGAATGTGCTCTAATCTTTCGAGATATTAGGTAATCTATCTGATTTTTAATTAAAGCAATCAGAGGAGATATCACGATAGTCACTTTATTCTCTTTAACTAATCCTGGTAGCTGATAACAGAGTGATTTACCAGATCCCGTGGGCATTGAAATGTAAACATCCTTTTTTCCTACAAATAAAGCATAAAAACATTAGTTTACTATTCTGGATCACCATATTCATTCTAAAGCAGTTATTATGAATTATTTAAGCTAGTAATAGTAAACAACAAATGCCTGTACAGCATAAAATCTGCTTGTTTTCATTTTAGAGCTCAAATATTTTCACAAATTTGCATCTACACACCTGATAAAATAGATTTAATAGCATTTTTCTGTATGTCCGATTTGAATTTTGTGTGATTAAAATATTTTTTCAAGATTTCAAATAAATCTTCCTCGCTATCCATTTTAATTAATAAATATTTTGAAATTAAAGAGAATTTTGAGATTTTTTTTTCTTATTTATTTTTTTTTGTTTTCAAATTTTGAATTTTTATATTCACACCGTACTCAAGTGTGAGTCCCGTCTAGCTTTATACCTTCAAACATATGATGAACGAAACTCAGCTGACTTGTCAAGCTTTAAACCTTCAAACATGTGCTGAACTAGTCTTTCCACAAAACTTTCGATGGTACGGTGTGAATATATCCACATTGGGATTCTACCCGATAGAGTCTTGTTTCCGTTATTTTTTTATCTTTATTTACAAGAAAAATTCAATAAACTCTAATTAACATACTTTAATAAATCCATTTATTTCTAATATTCTAATCGCATTTAGGGACATTATGTGTTAAGCTATCTAGCAGTTTAAAACACTAATTCATAGACTTCTTTATATGTACTAACGAAATGAACTTCAAGTCCTTCAGTTATGAACTTTGGTAAATCGTCATAGTCTTTCTTGTTCTCGTCAGGGAGTATTAAAGTCTTGACATTGCTTCGTTTTGCAGCTATTGTCTTCTCCTTGATGCCACCAACTGGTAACACTTTTCCTGTTAATGAAATTTCACCAGTCATCGCTAAATCTTTTTTAACTGGCTTATCTAGTGCCAATGAAAGAAGAGCTGTGACTATTGTAACTCCTGCAGATGGTCCATCTTTAGGTGTAGCTCCTTCTGGAACATGTAAATGCAAATGTGATGTTTCAAGGAAGCTATTTGTTAAATCAGCTTGATGTACAAAGTTTCTTGCGACTGTTAATGCAATTCTTGATGATTCTTTCATAACATCACCTAAATTACCCGTAACTTCTAAACTACCAACAGCTGGTTCTCCTTTTTTATTTGAGTCGATTAATTTTCTTCTTGCAGTTTCAATATATAATGTAGATCCTCCCATAGCTGTCCATGCTAAGCCCATAACGACTCCAGGCTGTGTTTCATCATACATCCTTTCATGTGTAAAGATCTGCTTGCCAACAAACTTTTGTAGATTCTCATCAGTTATTTCGAATTTCTCACATTCCTTCTTGACCAATTTGAATGCTACTTTTCTAATCAGCTTTTCTATGTGCTTCTGAAGATTTCTAACTCCTGATTCGCGACAATAGCTTTTGATCAATGTTCCCAAAGCTGAATCTTGAATGGCGATACCTTCATCAGTTACACCGCAATCCTTTTGTGCTTGTGGAATCAAATATTGTTTGGCAATTGCTAATTTCTCTTCAGCCACATATCCTGACATTTCAATCATTTCCATGCGATCTCTTAAAGGTTCGGGAATTGTGTCAATAACATTTGCTGTACAAATAAAGAGAACTTTTGAAAAATCAACTGGGATGTCAAGGTAATGATCGAGGAAGTTAGCATTTTGTTCTGGATCTAGTAATTCTAATAAAGCACTGCTTGGATCTCCTTGATATCCTTTACCAATCTTATCGACTTCATCAATTAAGACGAGTGGATTCTCAGTTTTCGTCTTTTTCAAACATTGAATTAATTTTCCAGGCATAGCGCCTACATATGTTCTTCTATGACCCTTAATCTCAGCTACATCAGTCATTCCACCAACACTGAATCTAAAATATTCTCTATTTAAAGCTCTAGCAATACTTCTAGCTATAGAAGTCTTTCCAACGCCAGGTGGTCCATAGAAGCATAAAATCTTTCCTTGAGTTGAACCTTTTAATTGACTTACAGCAATAAATTCGAGAATTCTCTTCTTTATATCTTCCATTCCATAATGATCATTGTCAAGGATTTCAGTTGCTCGATCAATATCCAAATTCTCTTCACTTCTGACACCCCACGGCATTAAAGTAAGCCAATCAAGATAGTTTCTAGTCACATTAAATTCAGAGCTGCTGTTTTCTAGGAAATTTAATTTTGTTAATTCCTCTTCAATAACTTCCATAACATGTTTTGGTACGACTTTTTCCTTCAATCTCTCTCTGTATTTTTCACCAATTGCATCCTTATCATCCTTTTCGATTCCCAATTCCTTCTTAATTACTTTCAATTGTTCTTGAAGGATATACTTTCGATGTTGTTGCTTAACCTTTTCTTCTACTTCCTTTCCAATCTTTGCTTGTAATTTAGACAACTCTAGTTCCTTTTTAAGCAAGGAAAGAGAAAGCATTAATCTTTTTGGTATATCCATTTCTTCCATAATTGCTTGTAATTCTGGTGGATCAGCTGCTGATAAGGAAGCACCCAAATCGCACAAATAAACTGGATTGTCAACGACTCGTTGATTTTGATGCAACATTTGCTGAAGACTTTCTCTGCAATTAAATTAATGGATATGAAAAAGTAGAGAACATAATTTTTTCAAATAGAATTAAAATAAATCGCAAGATTAAAAATAAATCCGAGGATTTAAATGCAAGATATTGAACATAAAGAAATTACCTATAGAGTGGATTCATAGTTATTATATCACGAATCGTCTTGATGACTTCTTGGGTTAGTGCTTTAACTTCCTGGGTTTGTTTGAACGCTTCGTGCTGGATGTTTTCGACTTCAACCATCAAAAGTGCCTGAACATCATTATCAGAATAAAGTATTTGTGGCTTCTTTGCAGTTTTAGCTTCTTCTGATGGGACATCCTTGTCAGTGCTTTCATTTGGGGTAATTTTCTTTGTAGCCAAACGAGTCAATCGATGTTTTCGACGTCTTTTGTCCGCATCAGATTCATCTGGTGAGACAGACATTGTCGCATTGAACAGTGGAAATTTAATTTTCGTTTCTATTAATGCACATACGGATAGGACAATGTATTATTCTAATGAAAATTCTATGTCCAGATCTTACCTTTAACTGCTTCCTCATCAAGTTCCTCAATAAGCTGACCCATGACTTTAATTCTACGATGTGCTGTAACGACTAGTCTCAATTTATCGCCTAAATCTTGCATTTCTTGTATTTGTGCGAAGGTTCCAATGCTATAGACATCTGATACATTCTGGACTAAATCATTCTTATTGTCATCATCACGTTTTAAGAAAATTCCAACATATGGCTGATTCAATCGAACTTTTCTTCTTATAAGATCCATAAGTACTGGATCAGAGAACTATTAACATAAATATATAAAGTAAGCGAAAGATCCAGAAAGGATTAATGTCATCATATGTACCTCCAAGATCTTCATAAAACGAGGAAAAACAGGGTTCCTATTGACAGCTATGCATGGCAAATAAGGCCAAACTTCTGGAATTGCTACAGTAGTTGGTAAATTTGTATGTAGAAAATCGGTCGGTGCATCAACTTCTTCAACAACTTCCTCGATTGGAACATCCTCATCCTTTTTCGTTGAAAATAAGCGACATTGAGCTATTGCAGCCACTTGACATCGCTGAGCAATTAAATTAGATTGTCCCAAAACATGAATTTTATTATTCAATTGTAGATTTGATCGAAAATTCCTTGTAACATTTTGTCTTGATAGATTTAAAGCAATTGAGAAACTCTTGGATAGTCTTCCTACACGTAACATTATTAAAACCTTTCTTTCTGCTCTCTAATCAAGTGAAAATTCACATTCAAACTATATATTCTCGACTTTTCCACTCGAATTTATTCTGACGAGACTTTGAAGCTTATTACGAAAATTGAGACTTAATATTTTGGTCGGTGACTGTAAAATACAATCGATGCTATGTGCTATCAACATAACCTAGAAAATAAATATCGTTAAAAAATATAAACAAAAAGAAATCAGAAAATGGAAATAAATTTTGATAGAGGAGGAACTTTGCCAAAAAAGAAGTCCAATCTATTTGTAAGTAGACAATAAGCTTGTAAGTGATTAATTAATCATCAAATTAATTGTTTTAACACCAGAAAACAGCGACTTTTGGATCCAGAAATGAGGAAAAAGAAAAAAAGCAAAAAACAAAACGTGATCAAAAGAAGAAATCCAGCAAGAAAGATGAGAATGGAGATGGAACTACTGAAATTCGATCGGCGAACATGCTTACACTAAATGTAATTAACTTAACTTAATCCAGTGTCATGAATCTTGTAATTTGATTGAAAAATTCTTTTTGCAGACATTAGTTCCGGACATGATTTTGATGGGAATTGTTAAATCAATTTATGCAGATCGTTTGTTGCTCAGTTTGCCTGGAAGACTATTCTGTCGAGTCCCAATTACTCACATCTCTAAATCCTATTCCGAATTTTTACAGTCAACACTCGAAGGAGAAGATTTGCTTGATGTAAGGAACAAAGCCAGTCATTAAACTAATTTTGTTTATAAATTTAATTCCTTTATTTCGTTCACAGAAGCCAAAAAGTTTATCAGAGATGTTTCATGTTGGACAAATGGTATATACAAAAGTTTTGGATAAATGTCATGGCGATAAACAGGATATACTATGCTCATTGCTTCCAGAAGATATCAATTCCGAAATTTCAAGCAACATGTTAGATAAAGGCAATGTTATTTTATGTGCTATAGAGGAAGTCGAAGACCATGGATATTTTCTCGAAACTGGAATAAAAGGCATTCGTGGATTCTTGCCAAAGAAAAACATTAAATCAGAACCGAAAGTTGGCGAGCAATTGTTCTGCAAGGTTCAAAAAGTTTCTGAAAGTGTTGTGACATTTGCTGCATTTAAGAAAGGCGAACAGATAAAAGTAGAAACAGCAGATGTTCCAAATATGAAAACTCTACTGCCCAGCACAATTGTAAATTTTAATGTTGTTTCATCGTTGAAAAATGGATTTGAAGGACTTTTATTCGATGGCTCAGTTACTGCTTATGCAAATGAACTCTATGTTCCATCAAAATTGTCTACAGATCCAAAACTTATTGGCAGAGAAGTCAAGGCAAGAGTTTTATACAGAATGCCATTATCGAATCAATTATATGTAACTTTAAATGTCGATGACACAACAAATGATAAAATCACGTTTGGCACTGTAATTGAGAATGCCAAAGTCATAAAGCAAACAAACACGGGAGTTCTGTTTAAGTTAAATTCAGATCATTGCGCATTTTTACCAAGAAAAACAATCGTTAAGAATTATAAGAATAATTTTGACATTGATACTGCTATGCTAAAGTTTTCACCTAATAGCATGCATACAGTTCGCATTATGGATTACAATCAATTTGAACATTGTTATTTATGCACAAACAATGAAAAGTTATTGAATGAAAAATATTATGGAACATATGATTTGAATATTGGACAAATTGTTCAGGCAAAGATTGTAGAAAAGTTAAATGATGGCTTGAGAGTATCAATTGGAAATGTTAAAGGTTTCTTAAAGGGTATTTTATATCACAAAACAGCCAAGAGTAATGAAATTGGATCAAATATTCGTGTACGAGTCGTTGAAATTGAACATAATGAGAAATTCGTTCAAGTTACAAATTTGCAAGGTTTCTTACGAGACGGATGTAAGATTTTGGATTCAAAGAAAAATGCCAAAGTCGGAGAAACTTATGCAGGCGTTGTATTGAATGATAAGGATAAGCATTATTCAGTTTTATTCTTTAATCACATTATGGGTATGGTCTTGAAAAATGAGGAAAATCAAGTAGATATAATTAGTGCGGGAGGATTAAAGCAAGGCTCAGTTAAGATGTTTAAAATTGCTAAAGTTAAAGGAGATAAAATATTATTAAGCTTAGCGAAAAAGCTCAATACACAGAATTTGGGTAAGATTTATGAATGTAAAGTTACATCAGTTCTTCCCACATCAGGATTACAAGTCTTTATTGATGATTTAAAAGCGTATGGAAAAGTTCCAACACCTTTACTTTCTGAATTTTCACATCTTAATGATCAAGTCTTAGCAGCGATTAAAGAAAATTCAAAACTAGAAGTTGTATCGCTTGGAAATAATCAATACAGTCGACGAGATGTCAAATACTTCACTAACAATGCTGCAAATGATTTTAATGATGTAAAACCAAACGATGTTTTAAGATGTTACGTTAAAGCTTCAAATGAGAAAATTATTGAGCTTGAATGTCCTCTGAAAAACTTCAATGACACAATTCGTTTAAATCGAGACGCTTTTGATAATCCAGATGACTTGGTATTAAATATTGGCGATGTTGTTTACGTTAACGTCATTGCCAAAAATGAAAGTCATTCAAATTCGCTTTATGTTACACCCTCATTGCCAAAAGTATGGAGGTCAAATAAGGAATCACTTGATATGCTATCTAATTATTTAGATGACATTTCATTGCTCATTTCAAATGCAAAGGAATTGGAGAAGCCATTTGCAAAATATTCAATTGGACAGAGAATTAGCGGAACTGTGAAAAATTTGATTGGAAATAATGTTCTTATTGAATTGGAGGAAAATGTTTATGCTCAAGGAACTGCTGAAAATGTACACATTCATAAAGTTGGAAGTAAAATTAATGAAGCCGTAATAGTTTGGATTGATCCTATTCAACAGATGCTTTTTGTGACTACATTTGAAAAATGTAAAGATGAAATTAGTATAGATCAAGAAGTTGATGACAAACGTGTATGTGAAAAGAAGCATAAAGCAATTATTGTATACAGCAATGAATACCTCAGCGTTTGCACAATTCGTAAACAAGGTCAGCCTCTAATTTATGTTCCAACAAAACATCATTATAATGACTTTAGTACATCAAATTGCCGTGCTTTGGGAAATGCTACAAGTAAATTAATCATAAAGAAGCTTAGCAATGGAAAGTTGTTAGGTGTTTTTGCACAGGACGATAAAGTTTTTCAGAAACTCGAAAAGATTAAAAACAAATTGGAACAAAAAGCTCCGATTAAGAGAAAATTGACAAGCAGTGTATCGGAGAGTATTGGTGAAGAGAATGAAACAATTAAGCATCCTAAAGTTGTCTTAGACGATTCTGAAGACGAGACTGACAAAAATATCACGAAAAACGATGAAAATGTTGGAGAAAATTCAAAAGAGGATTTCCATAGCACATTAAAGAAGCAAGCAAAACATACAATCAGGAAGATTGGTAACAAAATAAAGAAGAAAACAGCTCAGATGACCAAACCTGGTAAGAAGTTTCTAAATAAAGATTCGCTTCTAGACGATGATTTGGTAAATTTAATATCATATAAGAAGATTAAGGAAGGACAAACATCTACAGTAATAGAAAAGAAACATGATAAAGTCATGATTAAATCAACAATTGGCAAGAAGAAAAAGCCCAAACGTTTGGTTAAAAAATAAGTAAATCTCTTTCATGCCTTTTACCTTTCTATATTAAATTTAATATTTCATGTTGAGCTATAAATAAGCTTTGAATTACAGCAAGTAATAGAAATAAAACTTTTTTGCTAAAACAGATATGATTTTTTTTTTGTGAATATTTACTTAAAGACTTAATGAGTTGACGAGAACTCGTTATTTATGTAATAGATAGTAAGGTATCAGCAGCATATAGTAAAAAATATTCTTAAGCATTGATAATGACAGTAAATGTGCATTTATAAAGTAATTTACAAGACACTCTAAAGAATAATTACTCTCACAGTATGTAGCACTGATTATTTAAACATCCATTCAACAGCACTTTATCATTACTTAAATAGTTGCTGTCATAAAACAGAAGCAGCTTCAGACAGGAGAATTTCTCCATTAGCTATTCTTCCTTTCAGCTCTTTGATAATCAAAATTTCTTTTGTGCTCTGCCATTAATTGCTTTTATATCGCATGGATATGAGTTTTATTAAGCTTTACAAAACTTTCTCAAACAATTGTTCAAAAAATGTTTAATGGATGTTGATGACTTTTATGATGGGAAAAAAAAAATTTCCCTCCGATGATTTCTTGTACAGCAAGTAGGTGGATAATTGTATTAAAAGATGCGTGTACTCATCTAACAATCAAAACAGCAGCATGTAGGATTTTTGTGAATTTTGCAGACGCGAAAACATTTGTTTGGAATAAATTTAGTATGGTAAAATCATATTGAATATTTTAATATGAATTAAATTGTTGTGGGCTTTTGCATTAATATTTAAATATTTGATAATAATCCTCAAAACAAATTGAAAGTTGAAAGCCATTCTGTGTGCATGCATATCCATTCAATTTTCGATAATTATTTGATATGAAAATGCCTTCATAATCTTCAATGAAATTTAAATGCAAAAAGCCTATAAGTTATTCTATATCTTTGTCCATGGGAATTATGTTACTAGGTTCGATTAATTGGATTGTCCCTTTTGTATCATGGACCAAAAATGTAATTACATCTTTTTGGAAAAGATACTTTAAGACTTTCTCATCCTTTAGTCATTAGCTTTAATCAATACTTGAAATTTTCAAGTTGTTCCTTCATCCACTTATCGCTTTGGTTTAGATAATATGAAGGAAAATAAAGCTTCATAGTTTTTCCAATTAGATAGCTAGCAAACTATTAAAGAAAATGGATATATGTGAGAAATTACGATGAAATGATAAATGTATTTTCATTTTCAATTTGTATGATGAACACATGCCAAATTAAACGTCTTACTCATATTCTCTATATCTACATTTGTGGATGGATATCTATTGTATGGAAATGGAAGAAATGGATATTAATTTTCTCATTACATAATGATGAGATTGCAATCATTATCGAGGAACAAACGAATTCGAGAAGAAAAAGGACCAAATTAAAACTTTTTTTTTTCAACTTGGAGCTATGAGGATGTTTACATACACATTTTGCTACATGACCTCATTAATAATGAATAAGTTTCTTATGTAGTAAACAGTAAATCAAAATAGAATTGATCGATTTTCCAAAGTCTCCGTGTTGATGTCATGGGAAATTTTTTTCCGGTCGATTTTATCCTTTTCTGGGAATTCATGTCCATCAGTTTGTGTCAGAAATTTAATTAAATGGTTGCAGTAATGACTTCCTTCCGAACATCATTAATGGCTTCAAAAATAGAAGTCAAACTCGAACATTCTGAGTTCGTTCTCAAATCTTGAAGCCCAGGAAACTTCAACTCAACAACATTTACTTTTAGTTTCAGATAAATCATCAAAATATATCCAAAAGCGGCTTAAAATTTCAGTCATCAAATATCTCAGGTTTGCAAATGCTGCTTTCTGTAGAAGTGCAAAAGCGCTGAGTAGAAATTAAATCACAAAAGCTTTTAATTTGCTGACGATAGACTAAGCTCAGTAGAGGGAAAAGAGATTCTTTGACAATTTAAGAAATAATCTTTCCTTAAATTATTGATTTTTAATATCGTACGTCTTCATCCCTCGGATTGGCTGATGCAACACAGTATTTCACTTAGTTCCTATTTTTTTTGTCCCCTGTCAAGAAGAAAAGCAGAAAAAGGATTCTTTTGTCATGAATTATTCATTAAATTTTAATTACAGAACGAACGATTAATTTATTTGCAATCAAGCAACAAAGAGCGAATGAGATGAATTCTGGATCTTTTTATTTCAACATTTTCTCATCGCAGCAAAAATAAACTTACGGTATAAAATTATGCCTCATAGCAGGAAGTCTACATGCTCAGGAAATTGAAAAAATATACATAAAGGCATGTAAAGTTGTTACATATGCAGCATATTGTTTGAGAAAAGAATAAGATAAAGCATGAAGTATCTTGATTACTCATAACAGAATCGAAAAAAAGGCATTTTAAATTTCACGCGTAAAAGCTGACATGATTCTAAGCTTAACACGAGCATGTTTTAGATTATTAAGGATATATCAAAGAAATGTTTTGGGAATGTTCCAATTTTATGTTTTATCTTTAAGAAACATGTCCTACAAAATTGTAAATTTGTGGCTTCATATTCAAAATGATCAATAATATTGTTAAATGCTGCAAATGGCTTTTTCATTCAGGATTATTGAGGTAATTTTCTCATCATCAAACCAGAAATAAATGTTTCATCATTACTCAGTTCTATTTATTCAAAGACTTTATTTTCAAGGCAATGAAGCTTGCCTTATCACAAGTAATACAATCGTCCTGGATTTATTTTAACAAAATACATTTGTAGAAATTGTGAAGGAATAGAATGAAAAAATAAACAGAAAGCTTTTCGTCTTCAAATTGATTCTTTTTTTTTCTTTCCTTTTCTCGAAAATATTAAGTGTGGATTCTTATGCGAGCTATGGAATATGCGAAAAATTTTAACAGCAAGTGCTCAATGAAGTGAAAAAATGATAAAATGAATTTTAATGAAGAAGAACGAAAAAAAATCAGCTTCCGTTCCTATTAAATGACGAAATTTATTTCCCATTTTGAATTCTCCAATTCATCCTTTTGTTTTAGGAACTAAGTAAAGGATGAGAAATTTTGATTTTGATTTGAGATAATTAAGCTTTCTGAATGGAAATGTATGAATTATATAAACTAGCATATTTGCCTTCTTCCCCTTATGTCTGTCAGCATATGGAGACGCATTCATGTGATTTACATATGAATGTAATGTTTAGAATAAAAGTACTTAGATTATTCCTGATTCGATTGAGTGACTTTATAGGGTTTTAGAATTGAAATGACTTTATAATCGAACGACATGAAACTCAGTGGATTTAAGGCTTAAAATTTGAAATAATTGAGCTATTTTTGGATGATAACTAGAAACTTTTGATAGAGCCGGGTAGAACTGAGTTCCTCTTTGTTGAATGACTGTGGCTAGATTATTAAGTTGAGCTTTAGAAGACAGTTTTTGTTCTATGGGAAAAGACCTTAAACTTCAATAAGTAGTCCTCGGCCTAATTCAAACAGTTTCTATTCAAAGCTAAGGTCCAAGGTCAAACTTAAAGATTATGCAAAAAAAAAAATTAAAGCCTAGCTCTTATCGAAATACATACAAAGTAAATCTCTCGATACATCATCATGTTATTTCAAAAGGAAGCACTGAATAGACCATAAACGTATTCAAATAAAGTTTGTAAAGAACTGACAAGCGGAAATAATTTCAACAAAATTTTCACCCCCTTTTTTTTGAAACTAAAGCCCTACAAAAAACACAAGTCATATGCTAACATAAATTCACACAGACACACGAGGTTACTCAGGAACCTTTCTCGTTGTAAACGATCTCTAGCACAAATGTATAATTTTGAATTCTCATACAATAGTTTGTCTAATTGTAATGTTTCAGAGGAAAAGTCATCAAGATTGAGGACGTGATGATTCCTTTATTTCCTCTACGATTCAAAATTCATTGTCTTTTATTCATGTATTCTATATGATGGAAATCAGACTTAGTCAGTGTATAGGAGATGGAGAGGAAAACAATAAAAAAAATCTTTTCCTTATAGCATTCTTTTTACAGCAGCAGATCCTAAAAACACGTAAAAATGAGATTAAAAGTAAATCCCTGTAAATTGTCAAACATTTACGAGCGTTAGCTGACAATTTATGTCCATTTTTCATTCTGTCATAGACAAACATAGAAAATAGGATAGGATGTTAAACTTAACCTGTTTGGTTCTCTTTACTATATTCATACAAGGAAAGCTCGAATGATCGATCATGGCTATACCTTCATATTCTTATCAAAAGAAAAATAAATAAAAATTTAAAAGCTTCTTATATTCTTTTCAATTGCTTGTTGTTTAAAGGAATCAAGTTTCTTATATGTAAATTCTCCACTCAGTCTCTCAGAGCATCCTTTCCCCTTTTTAGAACTGGAAAGATCATGCGCAATTGGAACTCTCTCAAAAAGCTCACTGTATCTCACAACAAAACCAAACCCGCTCATTATAAAACTAATGACATTCTGATCTAACTTTTTTTTTATTCACTGAGATGAATATCTAAAGACTCCTGTCACTCTTTATGCTCGTTAATTTTCTAATCAAAATCAAATTTTTATAATTGTGTAATGATAATCACATGTCATAAATTATGGATGCCGACGGAGCGAGCGAGCTTATTATGATAGACATAGCGTGTGTCAAGCGAATCATCATTAAACTTTAATGCTGTGTTCATATAGTCGACTATATTAAATGTTTTGTTGATTACTAAGTAGCTTAGCAGTGTAAAGACAATCATTTGTTCAATGATTTTATCGGCGATAATTTTAGTAAAACTTTTACAATATTGGACAGCTTATAAAGTATTTATCACGCGTTTCGAACACTGAATTGAATCTAATTTAATTGGTTCCATTGAACCTCAATTGAGTCATCAAATTTAATTTTTTCAGAATTGCTTACAAAAATTAGAAGTCATACTAAACCCAACCCGCACGCACACGTTCATTCAAAATTTAATTAATTAACATTCTTGATGCCTTAATTCAATTTTCAAGAAGAACAAACCTCAAAATGTTCCGAGAATCTACACAAGCCACATTAAATAATGAA